TACTGGTAGGTGAAGGAAGAGCAGTCAGTGAAAGAGAGTAAGAAGGAGTCTTCTGTACAGTAGGAAGGAAACAAAGAAAAAAATGACAATCAGAGGAATTTCTAGAAAGGAGAGGTGAACTATAGCAATTTGCTATATCTAAACAGATGAGGCGGGGAAGGGGGGAAGAAGAAGGAGAAGCAGCAGCAGTAGCAAAGAGCATTGAATTAGGTAATTAAGAAATCACCGGGTGATTTTGATAAAAGTGGGGCCATTTGTTTTTATTACAGTTCTCTCTCATTTTGACAAGGGTAGTAGATTAGTAGATACCCCTAGGAGTCTAATAAAAGCTATGGATCAGCTGCTAGTAGAAATCAGCCTACACAAATAATTTTGTCATATAACTTAAGAGTTTTTCAGACTTTTGGAAATCATTTCATGATTTCCACCCTAGCTTAATTGGGGCAAAATCTTAGATTGAAGTCTTAGATGCCTTATTAAATGTCTCATGTCCAAGAGCAAAGCAGACAATATGAAAAAGGTACATCTACCAGATGGACATTGATAATGAGATCAATCCCATACTTTGAAAATATACCCAGAAATCAGCAGTTATATAAAAACTTGATCACTGCTTTCTCTGGTTTTGGTCTCAGCAAAGTGAAAATGAATCTGCCAAGGCCAGTTTTCTGATCTTTCCCCACCTAACTTTCCAAGTGGCTTCAGACAGCCACACGTTCTTTACTAAATCCATCTCCAGTCTTCTGGGCCCGCTATATCAAATGTCACCAAGTATAATTGTTTTTGTGTACGGCTCTCAATCAAAATATTCCAGCTGGCAGCTTGAAGGCGGGCTTGAAGAGTGGGAAGAGGGACAGAATGTAAAATGCAGACGTACCAAAAGCATGAAAAGATTTTTTCTTTTGATGGTTTACCGTTCGGTGTTTTTGAGTCAGTAAGTGCTTTCTGGCTTCGTCTCTGCCGTGCTAGCTATGGCATAGTATGAAACACACATCAGTCACAAAGCTCCATTTTTCAAGGGAAGGATTTATTATTTTATGCCTTATTTATACTTTACTCAATAAATCTATCCTGTTAGCAGCTATCTCTCACACAATGTCACTTTGTCATCTCTATTCCTTTGTTACTATTCTTACTGACCACAATCACCACTCCCACAAAAACAAATCAAAACAAAAAATAAAACACCAGTATAGATTCTCTCACAATTTGGCAAGAACTGTCCAAATTCTCTGGCAACAATTCTATGTCCAGCCTTACTGACAGCTCCTTCATGTCTTACAAACACAAAGGAAGAATAAAGATTTGTCAGCTGTATTTTGAGCTTCCTTGGTGCTGAATGCCACATGATTTGTCCATGCTTTTTTTTTCCTATTACCTCTTCCCAGCATGATTAGTTATATTCAAACACTCTTGGCAATGCTTTCTTTTTCATTATTTTGAAATAATACAAAAATTAAACTGACAAAATAATGACATAAACTATTCTATAATGAAATAGTAAAAAGTGCTGTAAATATTCGATCAAAAAGTATTACAAGACACATATAATAGTGATAAGAACAGCTCCAAGCACTAAACATTTTTTAAACTGAAATTAAAAGAATTTACATAAAAAAGTAGATTTGGGTATAAGGCAAATTTTATAATTAATATAAATTAATCTATTGTTTTTAGTATAATAAAACTACATCTTAATGAAGCTCAAATCAATCTGATTTAAAACTTGATTTTAAGTGATACCCAACTTTATCAAAATGCCTTGGTTTCCTATAATAAATGTATTTTTCTATTTTCTAACCACTTGTTTTTGTTTTCTCATAAAGAAAGTAATTTTTAAAGAGTTCTATCACATCAACATTCAGGGAATACCAAAAGTCACACTGAGAACTAAGAAATATCAATTCTTTTATCACTGTGGCTGAAAAGAAAAAAAAAATCTGTTAAAAGGCTTTTAAATAAAGATCTGAGGAGACCCAGAATTCACAGTTGGCATTAAACAATGTTGGTTGAAGCCAAAAAAACAATTGTGCTCTTCCTACAACTTAAAGTCAAGGAACATGTATGAAGGACACATGGAGAAAGCCAAAGGGTGTAGGACTGAGGGAGGGAGGTGGGGACTGGTGGGGAGGGGTGGTGGGGGGAAAATGGAGACAACTGTACTCGAGCAACAACAAAAAGAAAAGAGGAGTCAAATATTTTGCCTCAGGTTTCATGTCTTTCTTAGTTGTAATGAGTTTGGGCTGTTCAACCACAATTTGAATAGTGCTGAGTTCCAAGGAAATATTTGGAATACATGTAGTATATTTATGTAAGTTTAAGAGATCCCATTATGCTTATGCCATCATTGTTTTTCTTGAAAAATGCATATAAGACAATTGAACAAAGGGCTGTGTGCAGGGGGGTGGAGTGTCTGGATGGGTCTGCATGTATTCAAAAAACTTCACTGGGAGGCAAGGGCTGCCATCAACAACCACGGGCAGCACGCGCACTGCACTTGTTACTCATGCTGCTCTCTTACACATGTTATTTTTCTATTTCTGTAAAAAAATGCCATTGGAATCTTTTTTAAAATTATTTTATTGTTGTTCAATTACATTTGTCCATTGATAGGGATTACCAAAATTGACATTTTGACAATATTAATTCTTCTAGTCCATGAACACTTATTTGTATCTTCTTTGATTTCCTTGTCTTGTAGTTTTCAGAATAGAAATCTATCACCTTCTTATTTGAATTTATCACTAGGTATTTTGTCTGTTTGTTTGTTTGTTTGTTTTGGCCTAAAACAACAGAAATTTATTGGTTCATAGTTCTGGAAGCTAGAAGTCCAAGATCAGAGTATTGGCAGGACTTTGCTCCCTCTGAAACCTGTGAAAGTCTTTCTTGGCTTCTTTCTAGCTTCTGAAAAAAACTTCCTAGTGTTTTGCCAGGAATCTTCGGCATTCCTTGGCATGCTGCTGGGTAACTCCAGTCTTCACATGGCCCCTGTCTTCATGTGGCATTCTTCCTTTGTATCTCTGTTCTTCAAATGGCAATATTCTTTTTAATTTCTTTAAAAATTTTTTCAATTAGTTTACTTTAAATATTGCTTTGTATTGATTTCAGGTATACAGCATAGAATATTTTATTGTTTTTGATGCTGTTAGAAATGGGATTGATGTTTTTATTTCTTTTTTAGAAAAATTCATTGTTTGTATACAGCAGTGCTACAGTTTTTTGTGTGTTAGTTTTGTATCCTGCAAATTTACTACATTCATTGATTTAGACAGTTTTTTGGTGGAGTTTTTAGGATTCTCTCTGTTTACTTTTTCCTTTTCAATACTGATATATTTTATCTCTTTTTCTTGCCTGATTTCTCTAGCTACCACATCCAGTACTGTGTTGAATCGCCATGGTGTGGGTGGACACCCTTGTCTTGTTTCTGCTTTTAGAGGAAAAACCCACCTTTCACCACCATTGGGTATGATGTTAGCTGTGGCCTTCATTTTGTTGAGGTATGTTCCTTAGATGCCTGGCACATTAAAAGTTTCATCATGTTGAATTTTGTCAATGCCTTTTCTGCTTCTATTAAAATGATCATATGTTTTTTTTTTGTTTCATTCTGTATGTTGTCCCACATGATTGATTTTCACACGTTGAACTGTTCTTGCATCCCAGGGATAAATAAACTCTACTTAACTCCTGTAAAGGATCCGGTTAATGTGCTGCTGAATTCAGTTTGTTTTCTTCTCTAGTAGTGCCAGTTTCTGGTTTTAGTGTCAGGATAATATTGGGCTCATAAAATGAGTTTGGAAGTGTTCCTCCCTCCTTTTTGACTTTTAAAAGAGTCTGAGAAGGATCGTTGCTAATGCATCTTGAAGTGTTTTATATAACTTACCAGTAAAGAAATTTGGTTCTAGGCTTTTCTTCATTTGGAGATTTTTGATTACTAATTTAATCTTCTTACAAGTAGTTGATCTACACAGATTTTATAAATCTTCCTGATTCATTCTTGGTGAGTTGTATGTTTCTAAGAATGTTTCCATGTCTTCTAGGTTGTCCAGTTTTTTAGCACATAGTTGACCATACAATTAAGAATGTTTTGTTCACTAAGCTACATGTATGGTTTATTTCACAAATCCATGGGTTTTGGATGCTTTGGGGATCATGTTTATTTCTGAAAATTTGCAGGCCTGAGGTTTCTGAGAGATTGGGTCGGTTTAGATCACCTCACCAGGTTCTCTTGGAAAAATAACACGACCCACAATCATGCTCACATTGAGTGCAGTTCCCTGAGAAAAACTTAGTTTGAATTAATTGAGAATGTAATGAATAATTATAGGCAGAGTTTAGTTTTAGGCATAAACTATTTCCTTTTTAGGATTTTTTATTTTGCTCATAATACATGAAAGTACTTATTGGTTTTTATAGCCTCTCATACCTATTTAAAAGCTGACTATCACGATACATGAGATTTTAGTTGATGCTAAAAGGGAATACTGTTCAATTTCCCAAGGTTCCTAAGCAGAAATCCTATAGGAATATGATGTAGGTAATTGCTGCTTCCAGTTTCTGCCTGAAATATTCTAACTATACCTAAGTCTCCATTACTACCAATCTCAGCTAATTCTTCCTTACTTATTAAGACTTAGATCAAGTATTGACTTTTTTATAAAGCTATTATTCCTCCAAGAATTGCTATTTCCCCCCTCTTGCATCTATAGCACTTTGCATGGATCTCTTTCTGCTCTAATACTTCCTAAGAGAGATCAGAAAATAAGGACTCTGTTGTTTTACTCTGTATATCCCCAGTGCTTGTGATAACTTAATGGTATTGAATAGCAGTCTTGTTCAAACTTGTGAACCAGGGTTTAGTCATCTACCAGATACCAGCTTAAGTCAAAAAGATGGATATGTTTCCATGTACAATATGGTAAAGTTTTACACAATCTTAATGTTTAATTGCTTAAGATGCTACCGATAAATAGCAGCAGTTCTCACAGGAATCTGTGACATACCTTACTTGACTTGTGGTCCACATTAAAAGTGGCAATTGCATCCTCTGTTTTTTTCCTTCCAGACTTTGCTATTACATATTCAGCGAGTTTGTTTGCTAAATAGGTCTTTCCAGTACCACTGGGTCCCGAGAGTATAATTCTGTGATGCTCCATCAACAAGTTAAAGTACCTCTGGGTAATTGGTTTAGGAATCAGCGTATCAAAAACAAAACTGTCCAAACTGTTTTCTTCTACCCCTGAAGAAAGAAACAAAGGGAACAGCATGCCTTACTGTTCTCCACAAGCTAGAACTTACAATAGAGTGTCAACTGACAAAAAAGCTTTGTTATTCCTAGGAGTGCAGTTCTTGCAAAATACTGTCTTTGATAATTCTATCCTACAGACATATGCTTTTTTCCTTTTTACTGAATTTATTGCCATTTTAAGACCTTAGTAATAAGACCCAGTAAACATCCAAAGGAAAACAAGCCATTTCCTTTTGTTCAGGCTTCCTTCCCCTGTCTGCTTCATGTTTCCCTCGTAAGTTTGCAAAGAGAAATGGAAGCGTTATTATAAAATCTTATTCCCTTTGAAGATGGTAGTTTTGTTACCCATATGATCTTAGTCACATGTGAAATCTAATGAACAAAATTAACTGACGAACAAAACAGAAACAGAAGCATGAGTAGATGAAACAGACTGGCAGCTGTCAGAGGGGAGGGCGCTGGGGGACAGGAAAGACGTGAAGGGATGAGCCAAAGAACACACAGGTGTGTGACCCAGGGACACAGACAACAGCGTGGCGTGGCCTGAGGGAGGGGGGTGGGGTTTGGGTGGGGGTGGGCACAGGGGGAAAATGAGTATATCTGCAACAGTGTCAACAACAAAGTTAGAAAGGAATAAATGTAAAAAATTAACATAAAATACGTGTGTGTGTGTATTCTTCCCCTTTTCCTCTGGTTTCTTCTCCATATTTCCATTTAGCTCTCACTACACGTCCTGGCTGTATGACCCACCTGAGCTTCTGAAGAACACAAATTGTGGTATTTGGCAACGAATTAAGAAGGAAACAGCGTCTCCTTTTACCTATTCAATTACCTCAATCATAAAATCAAATATTGACACATTCCTCTATTAATTCATAGTTTATACAAATGGGTTCTGATTTTATAACATGTATGAACAAGGAATTAATGAGACAAGTATAATTTAGATCTTCTACTTGCCTATAATTAATCATATCATCCAAAACAAAGAAAACAGAATTTCTCCCTCTTGATTCTGAATTTCCATTCTCTATCCCAGTGGATATTTATTGGGTATACATATTTTAAAATCAAAGCTACAGTGATGAATATATTACTTTAGAATACACAATAACTTTTTTAGATCCTCCCTACATGAAAGATGGTAATGGAAGAAACCTAGAAACTTGAAATTCCCTAAATCACATTCCTTTTTTGTAAGTCCTGGAGAATTTTCAAAATTACATTCCAAGTTTCATATCTGCAAATCCAAAGAATTTCATTTATTTGGATTTTAGTGTTTTAAGTAGGACTTCTATGTTTAACATATAAATATGGCTTATTTCATACCAAAACTATCAAAGTAGTTGTCATCATTTTCAAATATGACAATATGAAAACTGCCAAAACGGAACTATTGGTTAAAAAACGCAGTGTGCTTTTCTTTTCAGTTTTATTTTTACCTTTCAGATTCACAGTGATGATGTTATTGTCTCCAACAAGGTAGCCACAAGGCAGCAGCTCAGGCACTTCTAGGCTGTGGGATCTAACCGCATCCCCGACGCAGTAGCTAGCGATGCAGTCGGAGCTCAGACCGAGGCTGGAGGACGTGTCAATGCGGAACACATACTCCTAAATGGTACACACAGAAAAGGAATGTCAAAACCAGGCTTGGCTCGTCTACAAAAAATACAAAATTCTTGGGAATATGAAGGAGCTGTCAAGAATTTTAGAAATGGGTAATATTAGAACTATTACTATTGAACAGCAGAAAGGCAGAAAGCTTTCCTTGATATTTGAAATGAAGGAGAGTAAAAGCAACTGTGTCTATGCTATTAAAGCTAAGAGAAGTATGCAAAATGAAACACATTTGAAAATTAATTATCAAGATATGTTGCTCAACTTACCTTAAAGAGACGTCTAATTACACCATCTAAGACATCCCACTTGGTTTTCCCACTAACACCGATGGATCCTATCAAATATGCCTGAGACTTCTGATCCTAAATAAGAACAAAATACAACAAGGTAAAAACCCAACTGTGTGTCTTGTCTCATTACTACATTTTCTACTAAAATGTATTAATGTAGTGATGATTAAGACTAAAATATTTATTAAGCCTATGGGTTTTATAGTAACAGATACACACGGTGGATTATATAAAAGAAAATACACCCCAACAAACTAACCAACCAACCGACCAACCAACCAACCAACCAAAGAAAGAAACAGCAATAGCAACAAAACAAGAAAGAAGGAGATTAGATGAAATGGTATGGTCAAGGAAAACTGATTCATGACCTGTTCAGTAGAAGGGTAAGGGCCAGGAGAGAATAGTCTTCCGTTTTAATGCAGTGGGTGCATTCCTGAAGAGAAGCAGCTTGGTAGGAAGGAAATGGTGATAGAGATGGAATAGAACTATATCATATGAGTCCTAGAACTTCATCTTACTATTTCTGTGATCTTTATCTCTGTTAAGTCTTTTTTCATTCGTTAACTTAGATTATCTCTAAAATCTAATCCAGCTTTAAAAATAAGTCATCCATGGTAGTATGGCATTCACATTCTTACAAAACAGGACCCATCGTGAGTTCACCATAAGATTCCCAATTTAAAAGGACTTGCCAGGGCACGTCCAGGACTCATTTTAGCAAGCAAAGGATCCCTTTCCAATACAAATAATGGTCCCAAATTTATCTTTTTTTCTGGGATTATCACCATTATTTAGATATAACCTGTTAAGAAGCCAATATGTTTACCATTAAAAAGTGGAGAAATTCACAGTAAATCTATTGCTTTTTTTTTTACTGTTGTTATAGAGTAAATGTTGGTGTCCCCCCCAAAACAATTCATGTTCAAGCCTCAACCCCCAATGTGATGGTATTCAGAAAGAGAAACTTTAGGAGTTAGATGAGGGCATTGAAGTGGGCCTTTGATGATGGGATTGGCGGGCTCAGGGGTAGGGGAAGAGAGGGCTCTCTCCTTGGGCACACACATTGAGGAAAGGCCGTGTGAGGATGTGGTGGGAAGAGGGAGGCCGGCAACTGGAGGAGAGAGCCTGCACCGGCAACCAGAGCAGCTGGCACCTTGGTTTTGGACTGCAGCACTGTGAGGGAATACATTTCTGTTGTTGATGCCACCAAATCTGTGATATTTTGTTACGGCGGCCCAAGGAGACCAAGACAACTATTTTCAATGTTCAAAGACTCTGTCTTTTAGAGTAATTCTTTCAAAATTATTTTGAAAAACAAAAAAAGAAAGACAACTTGTTTTCTAGTGTTACTGTAACCCAGTCAAAATGGAAACCCACACAATGCTTTATAAGCAGCTGCTTTTAAGTCAGAGACAGTTTAAGCTTCATTGCAACAATAGGCTCCCATGAAGACCCACTTCAGGAAGTCAGGGACAAATCTGCAGCTACAGCAGAGAGGTTATGGCATGGGAATTCTTGGAAAACTTGCGCAGTGTAAACTTCGTAAGTGTCATCCCACTTTTTTCAAACTTAAATATTTCAATTATTTTAAAGTTCTGAAGTATCTTTTGTTTTCCTAATTGAAAGAATTTAGATTCTTATAAATTTGTATTCTTGGCCACTCAATGACAAATTCAGCTGGAAGCGCTATTTTTAGTTTTAAGAGAGGGCTAGAATCAGCATGACATTGTTGATTTGAAGGCGACATTTGATTCCAGAAAAATCAAAATACTTGGCTATTCAGCTAAGACACTGTTTAAAAATGATGCACACAAATGCATCGGCAGAATTTATCATACCGAGTTCAGTATGATGTCTTTCCAGTGTCTAGAATATTTATTTATGTAGTTTATAGTCTCTTCTTTGTGCAAAGACCAAATCGACAGCTGCATAAACATACTACTGAACATCATGAACATCACCTGTATTCTACAAGTAAAACCTGAAGAATATTTCAGACAAGATGTTTTGTCCAAGAAGGCAATGTGTTTTTCTTCAGTTCTGAAAGTGAGGGTGGCTGACAATCAACACTGTATTCAGTGAGTGAACGCGACCCACTGAGACAGTTCCACCTACTGACGATGCCATTTCGTCTAGCCCCTAACTTTTATTCTTCTATAACATTTTAAAGTAAAGCCAAGAAACACTGCTGATAATACATTTACCAGGACAAATATTCAAATATAAAATACATTTGATTCATGGTCATACATAGCCTTTAGTAATAAAGAACTTAAGAGTAAAGAAATACCTTTGCTCGACCATAGCCCTTGCTGATGGAGACTCTAATTTTCACACTGCGTCCATCTTTATGTCCGTTTGCATCACCAGCATCATCTAGCAAAATATCTACCAAATTAAAAAAACATACACAAACACACATGGAGTCACATGAGCTCAGATTTGTCCATTGTCATGGTTTTCTCTCTCAGAGTTAGTTTTATAACTTTCAATGGGAATATGTAGCCTTTCTGCTTCCCATTCTAGCCTGATTGGTTTAAAAATCCTCAGTCTTCAGGAAGATGAATTGCTGCAGATGGGTTACAGCAGGGGTGTCAAACTCATTTCACCGGGGCCACATCAGTATCGAGGTTGCCTTCAAAAGGTCGAATGTAATTTTGGGACTGTATAAATGTAACTACTCCTTAACTAGCGGCAAGGAGCTCAGCGCCACCGCTGGGTAGAAACAAGGTGCTGACCCGATAAAACAATGTGGAGGGCGGATTCAGCCCGCGGGCCTGGTGTTTGCCACCTGTGGGTTACAGTTTTCAATCTAAGATTTTATTTCTGCTCCCAAAGATCTTCACCCAAGTGTTGGGCCATTCATTGTCTTCAGGTGAAGAGATCCTTTTCTGTTACACACCGATCTGAGTAATGCCTGAGTAATATTCAGCTACCATTATAACTGTGACAAACTGAAAAGCAATCTGATTTTTCAATCCAATATAAAATATCCAAGCTCAACACCCATGTAATTTATTAATGTAAAGGTTCTGGAATTGACTGTCAACCGAAATTATTTTCAAGCATGTGGCAGGTATCCAGGTATATCATTGCTTTCCTTATATTTATAATTACTACAGTGTTATTGAGTTTCAACCATGGCATATAAATACTTTCTTCCAGAAGTATATTAATTATTATTCTCCTGTACTCTTTACGCTTATAGTTTCAAAACTAGAATAGGATTTCTAATAGTCAGCTAAGAGTTACAGAATCATGATAAAGCTAGCTAACCTTTAAAGCACCAGTCTTTAAATGTGATTAAAGATAATTTTCAAAATATATTATATGAGATTAATGTCCAGTTTGGAGAATTATTAAGGCAAACTACCCCAAATAAATGTTTTCCTTTGACAGTGATATTTCTACAGAGCCATATTTAATATGAAGATTGAGTTCTGTGGGCAAAGGCAACTCAGTTACGAGCTGAGGCACATGCGCCTGGTGACGAGAAGACTGAGCTGCTCTGACTGTGACTATAGAGAAACAAGGGCTGTGACTGTACTATCGAAGAAACAACAATGTCATCAAATGGCTCCTAAAAATGGAATGGTGTCATTATCTTAATAAGTAGGAATATATGATTTTGCAAAGGAAGGAGTAAAACGACATTTAGAATTTGAGGAATATGAAGATTTTTGCTAGAAAATTCTTAATTATCAAAGACTATCTCCCTCACTGGAATTTAATTATTTTACCAAATTTGCATCCTCACAGTCTCTCACCTTTTTGCCTATCTGACTAAACAGTGAAACACTTCCTTACACATCTTCATTCTCCTGCTCCTCAGAAGTTAATAGTGGCTTACTGGTAGCTGTTCACACCTCAATTTCTAATAGTTCGTGACCAAATTAACTTTTTAGTACTTTTCTAAAGCTATTGGTAAATGTTGATAAATACTCAAAAGTATTTATTACACATAAAATATATCAGAAACTGTGCTGGGGATTGGAATACCAAGGTGAGAAAGAAAATGAATTTTCTACTTTTTTGTAGTATACATTTTCTTTTTTTTTGTAAAGATTTTATTTATTTATTTTTAGGGAGGGGAGGGAGGGAGAAAAAGAGAGAGAGAAACATTAATGTGCGATTGCTGGGGGTCATGGCCTGCAACCCAGGCATGTGTCCTGACTGGGAATTGAACCTGCGACACTGGTTTGCAGCCCGTGCTCAATCCACTGAGCTATGCCAGCCAGGTTGTAGTATACATTTTCAACAAGATAATTGTATAATGTGTTAAGTGCAAGAAGTAAAGGGCATGAGGCAGTGAAATAGAGTAAGTGAAGAGAGTCTGCTCTAGACAGATATGGTATCATGGAGGGCTTCCTGGAGGAGGTAGTGTTTGAAGATAAGACAAGGAGGCTGAGAAGTGCTATCTATACAAATGAAGACTTAGAAAAAGATGTCCAGTCAACACAAACAAGTGGAAAAATCGTGATGAAAGAGTTAGGTGTGTTCAAGGAACAGACAGATGTTTGGGAAGGCAGCAGTGTGGAGTCTAAGGGAAGAGTGGGGAGTGTATGAAATGATGTTGAAGTGAGTAAGGGCTAGATGATGTATGTCCTAGTAGTCCATCATAAGAGGTTTAACCTTATTTGTGATGCACTTGTCCGCTCAAGTATGCCTTAGAAGGTGTTCCTCATTTTATGTCATGATTACTCTTAAAACCTATGCTTAAAATATGAAATGCCTCCTGACGGCAGTATGGTAAATATTTACGAACAAGTGTGACTGACTGTCTTTGGCTTTCATGTGTGTGCCTACTTAAAGCAAAATGAATATAGCAGTTAAAAGTTCAGGCACTGGATTCATCCAGACTTGGGTTCAAATATTAGTTCTGCCATTTACTAGCGGCATGATCTTCAACAAATTATTATAATCACTTTCCTAAGTCTTGATTTCCTTAACTGTAAAATGGGGCCCAAATAGCATCTGTTTCATCAAGTTGCTGAGAGCATAAACAGGGGTCTGACAAAGGTCTTCAGCAGCCCCGGGGCCACAGACCAGTACCAGTCCAGGGCCTGTTAGGAATTGGGGCACAAAACAGGAGGTGAGCATCATGCAAATGCGCAGCAAAGCTTTGCTCGAATTATCGCCTGCCTGAGCTCTGCCTCTTGCCTATCCTCATTCCCACCAGCCCCTCCACCCCCGTCTTCCACGAAACGGGCCCCTGGTGCCAAAAAGGTTTGGGACCACTGGAAGAGATGATGCTTTGAACGCACTTTATCGCGGTGTTGAAGAAATTTAGCTGTTCTATTATTCCTTTTCTCCGCTTGCTTATTCTAACCAGTTCCATTGACAGAGGGAGGAGAACATGGTGACCCACTCTGGGTCTTCCCTATTCCCAGTATATGACAGGCTGACCACTGAAGAAATAACTCAAGGAAAAACAAAAAACAGCACGTGTGAGTTAAGGGTCCTCTGTGGTTTGTTATGGAAATTTAGTTATGGTTCTCTAAACATTTGGAGGGAAGAACAAATAGATCTCTCATTCTGGTTAAAATAAAATTTTAACCAAAAAAAAAAAAAACAACCCAAAACCCAACAAAACCTTTTCAAATGTATGCCTTCACTGGACGTATGAAATCTGCAGTTATGTTTCAGGACCCGGACACTTGTCAACTATCTTCTCTCCAGCCTACTTCTTTCTTTTGTAAAAAAGTTAATCATGAACCTTAGAAAGCTCTTCTGTTAGCATGCCCCAGCATGAATGCCTTTTGATTTCCAATTCTGAACTCACTAAGCAAGGGGGAAAGTAATATCAAAGAACAGAAAATTGTAAATGTGATTTCTTTAATTTCATACTTAATCTTTATGGGTTCTAGTCTTTCCTAGACATGCATTTTCATTTCATTTTTACATGACTGTTCTTTCTAAACTGCCTTCAATACTAACCTTGCCTTTCTCAGCCATACCATTATTTCCCCAGGATAAAACAAAACCGTGAGACAGGCAGTGCAGTCCTGCCATCCAGCCGTCTCTAGGGGGCCATCCCTGTCCCTTCCTGGGAGCTGAGCCCTGGGTCACCGACAGGCACTGAGGGCCGTTCAGTGTGGGTCCTGCTTCACTTCCCTGTCAGGCTCCCCCCCAAGTCAACACATGAGATATTTCTCAGGATTCTCTGACTCTACATATTTGAAGTTTTTGTTCTTTCTTTTTAAGCATCTTTGAAGAGTGTTGACAAATTTAAAGACTATTCATACATTCAAGTTCTTACCATAGTTCCATAGATTTGTTTTACCTACCGATTTGTGAGTTCATTCATTATGACTTCTCTCTGTTTTTGTCTTGGCTTCTAGTATTTGTTTTGCATGATGCTCATTCTTAGGGTTAATTTCCCCTCCCCAGCCCCCACCAAATGTTATAAACACTGTTTTCCTGATTTTCAGGGAGTTCCTACTTGCTTTTCACAAAAAGGAACCAAGTACACATTTAGATCATTCATTTTACATTATGAAGGGCAGATCTAATAGAATTTTTAAAAATCTGACATTTTAGAAGCAAGAGATGTGGTTGACTAAAAATGTCATCTATATTATTAGCATGCTGTGTCTCTGGTTCTCTTCTTTATTTTCATCATCATCTTCTATATTTTTGTGTAATTTCAGACAACTCATTACAGAGCTGAGGAACTAAGTTTCTCTGTTCTATAATGGAGTCCAAAGCTACCCAGGAACATGTATATTATTGATTGTCAAGCGTCACCTGGTGGCTGTGCTTTGCAATTACCACATACACACCCAACCTTCCTACACTAAAGCTTATGTGCATAAAATAGCTTAATGTCCTAGGAGCAGTTATACTTTTAATTGACTTGTTCATCAGATATTGACACCATTATGTCACATGATTCTATTTGCAATTGAATAAAACTGTACCTTTGTTCCACCATTAGTACCACTGAATACAATAACAGAATTCAGTGTGTTCTTTTTGTTCGTTTGTTGAAAATTGAATACGTCTGCAGACTAAGTGATTAGCATCAGTGTGCTCTCTCTTAGCAACATCACGCAGGATCATTTAGTCAAAGTTTGGGATAGGGCCTGATACACTTGTCCATGGGCCCTGGACACTTAAAACACTACAAAATTGCATGGAGCTATTAGTATTATATTCATGAGCACCAGTGTTCATCAGATTTCTTTATCCTATTGCAATCATGGAGAAAATACTTTTCAAAAAAAGGATATGAAAACCCCATCTCTAAGGCTTCCAGGGAATGCCTTTTAAAAATGATAATGACATAGAATAAATTTATAAAAGAAAAATGGGACTATTTTTGAGAATTAGAGTGTTTACATTTTAAGAGGGTATGAGTGGGAGTAGTGGTGGGCAATGTTCTCCAAGTTCCAGTACCTGCACCCCCCAACCCTCCCACACCCTGTTAAGCCAGATGCATGCTTTGATTCAGGCAGGGGTGTGCACACAATCACCTGAGGTAACAGACTCTGCGATGTTCAGGTTGTTCAGAGAAAGCCCCAGTGACTGCCGTGAGGATGAGGAGGAGGTGCTGCTTGCGGACTCCGAGGGCGGCCGAGCGGGCTTCGTTGTGTTACCCGTCTCTGCCTTCAACCGGTCATTCTCAGCCTTGAGTATTTCAATTTCATTCTTTTGTGAAGATGGAAAACATGAGATAAATTGAACAGGTTTGACTGAGAAAATGGTATCACTTTTTTTTTTACCACAGTTAGTTTGTTACTAAATAAAGCATGTAGTAATATGTAAAATAAACAAACGGAAATTATAAAAACAGATTTTCTCCCAAATTAGGAAAAGTAATCTTTTCTCTGTCTCTCCCATACATATATGCATGTACTCACAAATATAGACACACTAACCATTAGAATTTTAATAATTATTTCTTGAATACATCATATATTTGAGGAGTTTTCCAGGTCTCATTTGAATTAAGAATATTATCATTGTAGAACATTTCTCATTTTAAAAGTATTGTTGAAATCTCAACAATTTCTCATTTTAGAACATTTCAGAACATTTCTCATTTTAAAAGTATTGTTGAAATCTCATAGCAGTGACAATTTTAATATTCCGAATTCACAGACACTTGAAACTCAGAGCAGAACGATGCAAATAAAATGATTTCAAATTACTTCAGAATCATAGCTAACATCTGAAAATTTTTTGTTCCTTCGAAATGGGGCACTAAGCTCTTTAATACAGCAAAAACCTTTTGATGAGTATACACAGTGGCAGATGAATCTGCTCAGCAATGAGCTTTTCTTACTTCAGTCATCTGTGGTGCCAAACGATTACTGATTTACAATAATAAAATGAGAACTTAGTCTGAGCACAGACTGGTTCTGAATTTAGCCTTCAGATGCTTCCAAAAAAACTACAAAAGCTTTACTTTTACAGATGGCATTCGACATCACTTTACTTTCATATTGGGAAGGTTTGAGTTATGTTTCTGTAGTTTTCTCATTACTTTTGTTTTTCAATAGAAAATAGGAAAAGGTACTTGAAAGTCAGCTTTCAAAACACTAACAACGAAAATTCAACATAAAGGTAAGTCGTGGAAGAGTGAAGAAGCAAGGACTGTAGCCGCCTCTCTACACACAGCTGTGGCATAAATGCAATCACAAGGGTAATGGCCTTCGGGAAAGACTGGCCAGCGTGCACTCCCACTGCCGACACCTGGGACTTCCACGTTCGGTGTTAGGAAACAAGTTGCCAAGACCGGATAAACAAAGCACAAAGACTGTCGATGGGGAGATTTGTTTTTGTAATAACTAAGAGAAGAAAACTCGCAGTGCGTTCATCTATCCAGGCTGCTCCTGGAAGGTGCATCGGTACTGACCTGCATGCGGTTCATGGCTTCCCTGATCTGGTCCAGGTGATGAGCTGAGCTCAGGGCCTCCAGCCGGATATCTGTTAATTTTAATTCCTTTTCTCTGAGCTCACTCTTCAGCTGCAGAATTATCTCTGCCTCAGCCTCCGTGCATTCGCAGATCCTAAAAAAAGGGAACAAACACAACATCAGTGGTTGGGGGAAGCCAGAGGATTAGGAAAAGTAATGCTTCTTTTAAAGGCTGAAGTGTAATCTTATCCAGCAGGTACAGAAATTATTTGCTGCTGGCAAAAATCTAGAGAAAAGAAGAGAGTTTTACCAACAGTAATACATTCATAGCTTCGAAACTGGAAATAGTAACTATCTTTTCCTTTCATCTTTTTCTTCCCATTTTCTGAAGTATGAAACAGTCTATTATTACTGTATATAAACTGATCCTCAAAATTCTCTTGTTGCTGATGTTTATGGGGCTGAAGATTTATAGTGATACTACATTTAATGCTACCATTTTCTAAGGGACTTAAATCTATTTGCAACATATGAAATATTCCTTTTTAAAGCAAAGTTATTAAATCCTTAAAACATTGATTTCTTGTTTTATAAATATATGCAAAGGATAACCTTATTTGCCACAATATCAGCTTCAAGGTACCATGAAAATTCAACATAGATATTGTAGAAAATAAATCAGAGAGATTAGTTTTGCACATTCAAATAATGGATGAGTGTTATGTAATCCTTCTGCTAGGCTCAGCTGATTCATGGGGTCACCGTTAATGAAGCTAAATCACAGATTTAAATCCATAAAAGAAGACTAGGTAAGGGCTGCTTAAAGGCTATATACATTATATCCTTATTGTTGTTTTGTTGTTGTTGTTGTTGTTGTTGCTTTGTGGACAGCTTTGTAGGAAATGTGTCGAAAGAATTTGTGTTACAACTAATATCATTTCCATTTAAAATGTGAGGTCTAGGTTGCTGGTCACAAAATGTTAGTGCCATGTGTTCTTCCTTCCTGTGCAAGCTGTGAAATTTCATGGGATGTACAACTGCCTGCACATTTCATAGGATGCACAAGGGTCCTTCGTGGCCCTGTTCAATATGATGGTCTTAGGCTAGTCACTGCCATGGGCATAAAGGCAATCTGATTTAAACAGTATATAAAACAAAGAGACTTATCAGAGCACGTTTCTACATTCCAAATGTTGTGTGCTTTGTTGTCACCTCAAAGAGTGGGAGACGATAAAAACTCTATGCTACGTTATCTAACACAATTAAAGAAAATGGATGGTGGTTTGGCTTTAGGAAACTAAAATTTGCCTCAAAAACAGACAGAGGGGGTTTTTACTGCTGAAATGCATGCGAGCAATTTTAGAAAAAGCAAAAGCGAACACGGCCTAGGTTAGAACTCAGGTCTCTGCAGTTCATGCACCACACTCCATTTTACCGGGATCTATGCTTGTAGATCACAGGGCCATTTTGCCGTTTCTTTGGTGGCCAGACAAGGGGTGACCTGCATTTAACGCACAGTTAGACAGATACATGGACAAATGCAAGTGAAAAGAAGTGAGAATAATAACTGAGAAAAGCTGGAGAATGAGATCAAGAGACACTCAAATTCTAATATATGGAAAAAGTGAAACGAATGCTGACATTCTAAGGGAGGTCTGAAAATGACTGGCTTGGAGACAGTTTGGCAGTACAACCCCATGACATTTAGAACACAAGCATGGGCTTGGCCTCAGGTTGGTTTTGGGAAATGCTTCAGCATTCTGCAGAGATAGTGACTTACGCCGAGGCAGACTGCGAGGGCTTCATGGAGGCCGACCCACAGTCACCAGCATTATGGGGCAACTTGGGGGAGGCTGGCAGGGACGAGTCCGTGAGCTCTTCAATGTCCGAATGTGAGGAAGGGGGCTTGGTGGACTTTTTCTTCCCGAAGGCTTGTTTGAATGAGCTTCTCAGCTGAAAAAAGGACAGAAATTACCTTTCTTGTCTACTTGCACTCAGAGGATTTTACTTTGGGGCGTTAGTTTGCAGGTGCCGTCCTAGCCACTGCCTGGGGTCAGTACGGATAAGCAGGGTATTAACAGTTGCAGCGCAGTATCTCTAAAACAATGATACTGTGTTTTGTGTTTTTGTTTTATTCTTGTATTAATCCAGCGCAGCGCAAACATGGGAGGCTTTTAAATAGTGCAGGGTCAAGGGCATGGCTGTCAGAGCACTCATTTAAAACCAAGTACCTTGAAGGGATTTTTATTCCCAATGCTTCTCTCTTCAAGGCAATTTGTTTTAAATGGCCACTTTAGCACTACAATCAAGTCATGTCCTGCTGACAGGATAAACTTAAAAAGCAAAATTAAATCAAATTCACCTAACACTTCATTAACTGTGGTTTTCTATTCAAATTTTCAATCCCCATACTATTCAAAACCAGAATTGGTATCCCCTACAGCTCTGTTCAGAAAATGGTTTTACTTCTTTTTAAAATTTGAGATTAAAATGAAAAGACACAAAGAAAAGACATACAAGGTAATCTTCTTTTAAAAGGTATAAAAGCCTACTGCCAAAATAAATAGCATTCATGCCAAGGTAGGGTATTTTCTATAGATGCATGCCAAATTGTCCATGGTTTATATTCACCTCACTTCCTCTAGAGTTCACCTTGCAGAAACATGAAAGAGTGTGCAATTACAAATCAAGGGAATGAAGGCTGATCAGTATTTTAAAATATTAGGCATAAACATTTTTTAAAACAAAAAATACTCCTTTCATTATTTATAGAAGGCACTCTGGTAAAATCCTCTGATAGCTGTTTTGGATTTCATCAACAGTTGTACTTATTTAAAATCTACCTTTGTTTTACAGTATAAAAGGAAATTCTTCACTTTATGGTTTTTAAACATTTTTGCATCTTCCCCTCAGTTTTTACCAATTGCTTAATATTATCATAAAAATATCTCTATCCAAACTTATAGTTCTATTAAAGTACATTTCTATATTCCTGCTATATTCTCTTAGTAAAGAAAAATAAAGCAGACATTCAGATAGTTGATTTCTTACAAGGTGAAACTGTTTGCACTAAAGCCCTGTTGATGTGAGGGGTGGGGAGATTCAAGGTCTCTTTTCTCCTTTTTTCCAACTCTATTTCTTCTCTTCCTCCATCACCATCATTACTATCATCTCTGCACCATCATCACCAGCATTATCAACATCACCTCATCATCATCATCAGTCATCATCTTTCATCGGCAAAATAAACCCCTACTCTAAGTCATCTACTTACAGATGTTATTTTTCTTTCCAACAACTGCATAAAATCAGTATTAGTTTTTCAGATGAGAAAATTTAGGTCCTGCCAAAGGTGAAGTAATCAGCCCAAGATCCAAGTCCTACGTGGCTGATCAAGGATTCACACCCAAGTTTAGGCCCAACTCTAAAGCTGCTCTTCAGCACCATGCCCTCCTGACTTGGGTGAGGAGTGCAGCGAGTGAGGTGCTGTCACTTGAATGAGAGAGACTCTGTAATCTGTTGCATGCCTCTAAAGCCCCACAGGGGAAAGCCTGACTCACTGTGCAGTAATGAGTCTTTGAATTACATGAAGGAGGGTGGCTTACCCAATTTTTCTTTTTCTTTTTCTTGGAGTCAGCATCATTGCCACTGCCAATACTGGAATGGCTGGTGGCACTGTTGATACTAGAAACGCTTTCAGAGGAATGCTGTCTTCGGATGCGGAGATCTAGCAACAGACAGAGAGAATCACATTTGCTCATCCAGAGTGTAATTCTGAACAAATGAGAATGTAGGTTTCTGAGAGGCAATCTGCTAAGAAAAAGTCAACATGGCTTTTAAGATCATCTCAATGCAGTTTGGTTTAGTAACTGCAATAGAGGACAACTGTATTTGCTTTAATTAACTGGCTTATCTGCATTAAGATGCAATGAGAATCTCATATAAGTCTGTAGCACTGGTGGTTTAATGAGTTCTGGGTTTTGTCCAGAAATAAAATGCTATGGTAGTAATTCTACTGAGTACCTGGATCAAACCGTGCTTCTAAAATGATTTATTTCAAATGATTAGTTTCACGGAGGAAATGGAAACTCGTAAGAGCATGGGAATTGTGTCTTCTTAATATTTGTACTTTAAATAAAGTTACTGAAGCCAAATATATTAACTTTCCACTTCATAGAATCATACCATTTAGAGCCAAAACAAACCTGGGAAATCACCTAAGCACCTCATCTCACAGAACAGAGGAGCAGCTAAAGTGCAGAGAGGTTAAGTGACTTCAGCAAGGTTGGAGAGGCGAGAGGGAAGAGCTTTAAGAGCAAGAGAGTATGGGTAGATTGTTTGTGAATTAAACAGAACATTCCATCACACCCCTAATTCCTGTCGATGACTTGGGACAATATGACAGTAGCAATAACAACAGGCAATAATAAAGCCTAGCTTTTACTCTGTGATTACTTTGCTCCAGAGCATCTAATTTTAATCTTTAAGTAAAGCACTGAAATGAGTTTAATCACTAAATGTAATTTTCCCATAGTCCCTTAGCAGAAAATCAGCGAAGCCAACCAGAGACTGGACTGATTCCAATGTCTGCTGTGCTAATGGCCATGAATGCATCCTCTCTCTGTCTCCACAAAGCAGGTGGTTCTTCTCTGGTTAGAGGAGAGCATTTTTATATTTAACCACTTTTTGAAGATATTGACTTACTTCATGCAATCAGCTTATAAGTTTTATTATAGTTATTAAAAGTAAAACTGAAATTAAAATTGCATGTACCTATGGTGAACTGATATTAAGTGTTAGTGGAGACACTAAGAGTTTATAAAATTATTTTTAAGGTCAAATCTGTTTTTAGGCTATTTATATTACTATGTTTAATTGTCCTTAAAGAAGCCTAGTCAAAAAAAAAAGTGGAACTTATAAGATACTGGATATTACTATATGGCTGTCAAGATGCTTCCATAGAAATAATAGTATAAAATCAAAGCTTTCCAGTTGGCTGATTTATCCATCAGTGAAATGACCCATGCCAGTGAAACTGTAAATGGTTACTTTCAAAACATATAATAAGTGAGTATACATGTGGGTGTATAATAATATATTTATACATATCTCCATCCTTATACTCATATACATACATACCAATAAGCACTTCAACTTTTCCACTGAGATAATAACATGTTGACAAATTTTATAGGAGGAAAAAACTAGAGCTATTTTTCAGAATCCCTAGAGTATGGTCTCTTAAAAGAAATTTAAAAAATAATGATAACAGCCATGGCCGGTGTGGCTCAGTTGATCGGGCGTTGCCCTGCAAACTGAAAGGTCACCTTTTTGATTCCCCATCAGGGCACATGCCTGGGCTGTGAGTCTGGTACCCAGTCAGGGTGTGTGCCAGAGGCAACTGCTCGATGTTCCTCATCAATGTTTCTCTACCTCTCTTTTCCCCTCCCTTCCCCCCCTCTAGAATCAATAAAAGAAAAAAATAATGAGAATATTTAATGTTTTGCATGCCAAAAGTATTATCAATGCCAAAAGCTAAATCGAGGTGGATATATATATATATATATATATATATATGTTCAACAATATGAACATCGTATCTCTTAATCAACTAATATGGAGGTTATATGAATACTCAAAAAAATGTGTGTAGGTATTTATTTGTCTAGTAAATATATGCTGTGGTTGACTATAAGTTTTTCTGTGCAAAATGTAGTTTTGCTAGTTTTCCCCTAATAACTGACTTTCACAAATAGAGCAGATGTATTAAGCATTAACATATCCCAGACTTTTATTACATCCAGATAATAAATTGTATTTGACTTTGATTAATCCCCCATTTCAAAAAGATAGGCACATTTTTGTAATTATAGGTCAAAAGTAGTCTTTGGAGGTACTGCATTTAACTGTGACTCTATTTCCAATAAAGTTTGGCAAAGGCATAATTTCAGCAATACCTTAGAATGCAGATAATGCCTTTTACTTTTCTCTAACAATTCTTTTCTTGTGCTTTAAGTATGTGATTCAGGACACGGAACATCACAGAGCAAGGTAAAGTTTGGTTGACCAAGTGAGCGCATGAATCTGGAGAAGTGGGCGTGTCAGTACGAGTTTGTCCCTGCACCCGTTTTCCACTTCCCGCCCTTTGTGCCGCCACTGCCCCACTTCGAACTACCTCCCTGCCTGCCTGCTCTCCAGCAACAGTAGCTGTCCAACCTACTCACCCTCAAACCACTCTGGACACAGTGGCTGGGAAACTTTTTCAAAGAAAAAACTGCATCTTCCCTCCCTTGCTTAAGACTTTTCAACCAAGTCCCATTTTGGTAGAGACAAAAACCATTTCAGCTCCTATCTATAGTCCAGCTGTTCCTCAGTAATTTGGTCAGTACTGACCTTTCCAACCTGGATCTATTTATTTGACCTCTGTTCATTACCTTTCTTGTGTAAGTTTTGTAAAGGCACTAATCAATTTTCTGTCTCAAGGCCCGTCTCAAGTGTTCCTCTCTAGATATTCATTGTGCAGTATCACTTGGTACAATTCTTCTCCTTGGACCTCTCCTTAAGCATTGCTATCTGGGAAAGGCCTTCCTGACTCTGCCACCCCTAGCAGGTTCCCTGGAGTTTTCATTCTCTGTGACACTTATTCTCATCTATTTTAGAGCATAAAACTACTTGGGCATGCACTTTCAGCTACACCAATGATCACAATAATTGTGTATTTTCTGCTCTCCTACAGACTAAAAACTGACGGAAACTAAGACTAAGTCCGTATTGTTTACCATTTTATATTCGGGCCCTTACATAGAGTGTATCACATGTGGTAGGTAATTATAAGTACTTGTTGAATAAATTTATTCTTATTAGTCATTCAACACAACTATGTTTGCTGAAGAGTCTTAAAAATTATTACGGTTGCCCTCGACTTAATACATGTTTTGTCACATTGGACTTGGTATATCTGAAAGAAAAACTATTCCATGTTTATGCACAGAGGTAGTAACTTAAAAAACAACAGTGGATTTCAAAAATTATAAATAAAATTTTCCACTTCCTCTACCTTTCAGGCTTACAGCCATTATGTTGTTACAAAGCCATGGCTGTTATACATGATATACATAAATTGCCCTTTGTTAAAGTGGACTGCAAGCCCTCAAGTGCACTGGCTCTTTTTTTATATCTTTGTGTCACAAGATCAAAAACAGTGCCTAATGCATAGCAGATGCCCAAACAATGTTTGTGAATAAATAACTAAATGCAGCCTATTATAGATTCCTACTATGTATCAGGGTGCATAAATAAACGTGATGTATAAATAGGGAGAAACGCAAAGGTGATGTCACTTTAGGACTGCTGTGCGATTTTGCCGCAGTTCGAGCTGTCTGTAAAAGTACTGCCTTACTCCAAACATGTATCTTAAGACCACATGATAAAACTTTACCTGAAAGAAAGGTTTTAAAGGCCTCAAAAACCAAATTTCAATGTTATTTAATAGTGCAAATTTATACCCTATACAGTCACCTTAATAACCCAAGGAAAGATACATAATAAATCTAATAGACTATTTAATTTCTCCATTTTATCCCAATGGTCAATATAGTAAGCAACATTTTGTGTTCCCTCAATCAAATATTCAGTTTTAATATTTTAGAAAGCAATCTAAATATCCTATATACAACCAACACTTTATAATTATTTTTGTTAGTTTTAAATCTTACAAAATGATTTTTAATCTTTCTTGTCCAATTTTTAAAATAACTGTTATCAGTTTGTTTACATTAGGCACCCCTTCCACATTTTTTAGCAAAGGAATTCCTATTTTTTAATTCCAGTAGATATGTTAAGCTACCTGTTGCCTAAGATAAAAGGAAATCTTCCAGAAAGTTTTACTTCAGTGACTGGCACTGTGGTAAAGAAAGGATTAAGCCTTTTTAAATCCCTTCTGGACCTATTTACAACATGAAGATTTAGAACATAAGCTGCTTTATTATAGCTGTAAGATAAGCTTTAAATATGCAGTAATTTTCCATGCGGCATATAAGTCAACTCCCCCACATGGAAAGTTGCTAAATTCTTAACAGAAGTAGTCCCTAGAGAACTACTTTGTCTTTCAATTTAAGTATGTCTCAGTTTATACAACTATTTTCCTAAAATTTAAATTAAAATATTTTAAATTATATTATTCTTTTTCTATAAAACTTGAATAACCCCCTTTTATAGGCAACACATTGTCATAGCCACTAGGATTAAAAAACAAACTGCCCTACCATAGATCAGAAAAGGCAGAACATTAAACAAATTAAGGGACCAAAGTATAAGGCAAATTTTGATAAGGGAAGTAGAGTTATCTCCAGAAATACATCACAGGAGTATCTCATCCAGTTTAAGGGTCAAGGAGGCATATTTAGGCTGCTTATTGCAAGGTCTCAAAAAGTTCTTATGCTGAACAAACAGGATAGAAAGTTCCAAACAGAATAAACAGAATAAAGAGTTGAAAGACATTCAGGGTAGCCAAAATGTAAAATATGCAATGTGCAAAAAATAAGATATAAGGTCTCGCACAGCATCTAGCACATAGTAACTTACCAATATTTGCTGAATAAATGAAGCTGATGAAGAGAGATTATGTCTGGTTAAGGAGTTTGTATTTCATCCTAAAGGCAAAATGGGATGGACACACACATGCACGCACGTGTGCGCATATGTTGTTGGACAATGGCTCTATTCTCAGTGTGGAGAATGAGGTAAAGTGATGTTAAGGTGACGGGCAGGATGGCTGTAGGTGTTTCTGGCCATGGTTCAGGGAAGAGATAACAGGTATGCATAGTAGGATCAGAGAAAAGAGAAAAGATCCAACAGATATTCAAGGGGTAGAATCAATAGAACTTGGCAATTTTCTGAGTGAGGAGAGAGGATTTATAAGTGGCATATAGATTTCTGGCGATAAGGAAGGTGCCATTTACTGAGGCAAGGAACACTGAAGGCACAGCAGATCTGACGGGGGAGATGACAATGTCCGATTTGGAGATGTTGAGTTAAAGGGGACACACGAACATTCAAAGATAACCAGATGGAGTTCCCTCATTGACAGCTGTATATGCAGATGTGGAACTCAGGAGATGAGCCTAGACTGAAGAGATAGACCTGACAGTTGTCAACACATAGAAGATAACTAAAGCTAGAACACTAGTTGAGTTTGTACAGAATGTTAGGCAAGATGGAGAGAATCATAATGTAAAAAGCCATAATGGAAGAGAGCTGAGGACTACTCAGCTTTTTAGAAATACCAACAATTAACAAATGGATACAAATGACTGAGTCTACAAAAGAAACTTTGAAAGAGATTTAAAGAAGCAGAAGAAAAACTAAGAATACGGATACATTAGGAAAAAATGAATTCTTCAAGTAGAAAGGAATAGGCATTAATATCAAATGCTGTTAACATGTCAAATGCAGTAAGAATTTAAAATGTTTTACTGGATTTAATGTTGTACAAGTCATTACTGATCCTGAAGGGAACAGTTTTGGTGGAGTGGTGGGAAGAAAAGCAACACTCCAGTGGTCTGAAGTACGCGACTGGCTGCTGAAGATATTGAAAGATTCCATAAGAACTTCCCAGAATTCATCTGGAAATGGGAAGAGAGGTGACAGGCTTTTGGAGTTTAGGAAAGCATTTTTAAACTGGTAAATAAGTGAGCATACTGAATGCTATTGAAAAGATTTAGAACATGAATAAGTAGAACTTGTGTAAAGAAAAGAAACAAGAGATTAATATAGAGCATTATCTTCAGTGGGAAACTAAGGGGTGGGGTGAGTGTGGTGGCAGAGAAAATTATTTTTGTCATTGTTTAGAATTGTTAAAGCATACTAATAATGAAAAGCACAATAACTTTTAGACCATTTTCTCACTGTTTTAAAATTCTCTACAGTAAGTGAACCTTTTTAATGCCCTCACCCCTAGGGTGAATTGCTCCTCATACCTATTACTTTGTATTTTGATTTTATTTTTTATAGAGAGCTAGATTTTCATCCTCCTTATTGAGTTTGCTCTTTGGTGGATGTCAGATATGAATGTATTAACCAACCACTCATCCCCACCTTCACCAAATCAAGTGAAGAGAAATGTGTGTATACCATATTTTTAGGACTATAAGACACACCTAGGTTTTAGAGGAGAAAAATAGGGAAAAATTTTGAAGCAAAAAATGTGGTAAAATATTTAATGACATAAATAATATAATATTTCACCAGTGTGAATGTAAACTACATTTTCTAGCCAGGTATGTTATATTTGGACTATAAGACGCACCCCAGTTCCTCCCAAATTTGTGGGGGGAGTGCATCTTATAGTCTGAAAAGTACGGTAACTATAGAGGCCAATTCCCCAAGGTCAATTTAAAAATTATTTGATAATGAAAGTAACTGTTCTTAAATTTTGAGAATGATAATGACTTCATTAACACCAAATTACTCATCACTAAGTAAACACAGCTTTTTTCTAATTAGTAAATAAAGTAGATGACTAATATATCGGATGCAAAATGGCAATATTTCTAAGTATACCTTTGGGAGGGTGATCAGGACCATTCAGCGCTCCCTGAATGGCTGCCTGGGCAGCAGAGTTCTGGGCCTTCAGCATTTCAATGGTTTCTCTTAGTTCTATGAGTTCAGACTCCTGTGAAACAAACAATTTAGAAGCTTTAATACCTAAAGAGAAAAGTTAACCGCCCCTGTTGTTCAAAATTCACTATCAAATGGTTTGATTTCGTGTCATGCTAATGTCCTGGGAGATTGGGGTAGTTGGCTGATCTTGTCAAGCTGTATCTACTTCTTAGTCAAATGTAAATGAAAATTAAAATTTTTTTCTTGGTTATTTTCTTATAAATACGATGTGAATAGTCTTTATTCTTCTCAAAGGGTGACACCCAGAGCTGACCAGTACAATGCAAAGCATGATAATGCATTGCTTATTTTATATTAAACCCCTAACACTATCTGCGGTCATACCACATAATTGGACATCAGTATGCTCTGGTGCACCAGATTGCCTTTCCTGTCAACAGGGAACCCTGAGTTTCTGTCAAATAAGTGACTGCAGATTTTGTCTCCTGTGGTTTGCACTTGCAGATGAATTCTTTACATTCAAGTATAAAACCTGGAACTCGTCCATAACTCACTCCTATTAAGTGTAATCTTATTAAACTCTGCTGGCATATCAAGTTCATCTTAGATTCTGATACTTTTCATTTAATAAAATTCCTTGTATAAACTCAATTTCACCAAGCCAAAGCAACATAGGAATTTTTAAAAAGTGAATAGAAATTTGTGTAATATACAGTCCTTAAATAGTAGTTAAATGACAAAAAAATAGATTTTTATAAAACATCTAATTTCTGAATTTAGGTAATTTAAAGATATGTCCCAAGGAAAATCTTTGTGCTGGAAATGGCTCACCATGAGAAAGATAAGAAAACAAAGAAAAAAAAAAGAATGAGGGTACTTTGTCAGCAGATGCAATATTTCCATCAGGAGCTCAAAAATAAGCAACATCCTCTTGGCCATGATTGGAAGGCCATGGCCTCTAAACATTGGAATCCCCCTCAGCCTCTCAGAGGGAGAATTCCTCGGTAATATGTTTGCCATTCATCATTTTCTTTAGCATCTCTGGCAGAAAGCCAAAGAATGAGGCATGAGTTTTTCATTCCATGGTAAACATTTAACCCTCCTAGAGGCCTCCCAGACAGAACACAAAAAAGTAGGATCATAACTACTGCCTTTGTAGGAAACTGCTTCATACATGGGAACCTTACACACTTAAAAAGGTGATAGACAATGCTAACTGAAATGATATTCAGGTTTAGAACAGACACCTGGTACACCCTGTATGTATTTTCATTAGATATCTGACATATTTCTAACAGGTGACAGATTTTATTTAAAAGCAAAACCTTTTATAGACCTCTAATAGCTTAAAAGTTAAAGGCTGTCATAATGAAAATGCAGCCTCCTGGATTCACAGATGGGTCTTCAAATACCTGACTATAATTTCACTCGCATTTATTTATCAAGAAGAAGAAGATCAAGTTCATGGAAAGTTTCCAATATTATATACAAAATTCAGACCTAATTCAGCAGAATTTTCCAGTCTCTCTAAGTTCTATTTATAGTCTGTCCTTGCCCAACAAGTCACAGAATGTTTACCAAAATTTAATTTCCTGTCCACTTAAAATGTATCTGCCAAGAGAGATTACGTTTACTGAAAATTCATTCTGCTCTTACCAGGAATTGATTCACAAAAAGATATCTATGGTGCCTACTTAATGAATCACATAATTTGGTAATTTTATAATCTATAGACTGAAATACATGTTAAATATTAATAAAAATCAGATTTTTATCTTTGAATTTAAAATCAATAGTGCTTGGACTGTGAATTAAAAATCTGCTAAAACATTGGCTTTAGGTTTAAAGAGGAAAATGGAAATGGGATCTTATGCAAATGTCTGAAAATTTTTGCTTAACTTTATGAGTTAGCTGACTTATTTCAGTGTCAAAACATTAATCTTTTCTAGAGAAATCTCATCTAGAAACATTTTTAAAAGATTAGGAGTGTAATGTTCAGGGAATGTTGCTTTTTCAGAAAATGGTGTTCAATATGAGATAGAAGAATGATCACTTTCTAATATTAAGTATTTTTGTAAAAAGAGATATTAGTGGGCTGGTTGTTATGCAGTGTGACATGATAAACCCAAAGGGAGAAAAACTAGAGAAGAAAAATTGTCATTATAGAACTTGGGAAAAATCATATCTGTGAACATATTAGTTTAGGCAAATTCATATTAGTAATTTTTTAGGACAGCTTTATAAGTAGAAGCAAGCACCTATAAAAGATCCCATGCTCTTTAATTAAAAATATATAGTTAAGTTCTACATTGAAAATCTTTTCAAGCCTGAACTAGTTAATTCTCCATATATGCAAAAATTCCTTCTTTCTTATTTCAGCTGAGATCCACTTTCACCATCACTCCAACTAGAAACACCTTTCTCTGTGTCTTTCCATATGATTTTCCCTTTTGCTTTAAATATCCTTCCTCACTCTTAAAGGTCAAGTGGTATTTGAAAATCTGAGAACCAAAAATAAAATTTGATTTATGTATGATGAGCCATTCAAGATTATGATGACCCCCAGACCTCTTGACTATGTAAGATTCCAGTGTTAACTTAGAGTTTCTTGTGGAAAAGAAGATGGACAGTGTCAAATCTCAGAGTATATATCTCTGAGGCTAAACAAGGCATGAAGGCAGACTTGAAATGCTTCAAATTAAAATGATCAAACATTGTGTTATAATACAAGCCTTGCTTAATGTTCTTTTCAACCTAATTTTCTAACTATGTCTGACATCTTTGCAAATCTCTCCTGGACACAGGCTTTGTTGAAAATCCTACAAATTTGTCAACAATTCTCATCAACCAACTTGATCTTCTAGGCTAGGCTCTTAAAATTTTCTACTAAACCTGTTTTTTGTTTCCTCACATCAACACTTAGTTAATATGACACTATGGAGCTCTAGTTTCTCGGAACATATCCCACTCCCCCCACCCCATCGTGCCAGGAAATCTTGTGAATTTTTCTACAGAAAGAACTTGGCTAGCTCTGGTTCTAACTAAATGAACAAAATTCAAAAATTCCAGTAACTATACCATAAAATGCTAAAGAATATATTTTATGACAAGTAAAAATTTAAAAACACTTCTAAATAAAAAATATTTTAATGTGAATTTGGAGGAGTTAATGTCAAGATCCACTTTCATTACTCAATTGTTAGCTATTTCCAAAGATTTGGCTTTGAATTTTCTCATTTTTAAGGTTTAAGTTTCTATTTATCTAGTTGCCCCAAAAAGTGGTTTCACAGAGGTAAGAAAGGGCAAACCCTAGGAAACATAAGGATCAGCATCACACTACCAGCACTCACACCAAAGTCAATCCCAGTGGGCTCTGACCTGCTAACAAGACCAACCTGGCCCACCGTACCGTATGTTCTAATTCCCGGCGGCACTACAGCTATAGGGAACTGACAATTTTAGTAATAGGGACAGTTTAGTAATTTTAGTATAGGGACAGTTTTAGTAATTTTGCAATAATTGAGCAGTGGTTCTATAAAAATGTAGATTTGCAAATCATACAAATCTAGATTTGTAGAATTCTTGCCATTTTGTTGACTTGTCTTGTAGCCTTTCTCATCTGGCATTCTATAAGAAAATAAGGCTCTAAACAGTAATTTGAGTGACATTTCCTCAATCCTGACAAAAATGGAACATGACTAGTACCTATCTAGATACAAAAGAAAGAAGTTATTTCATCACACATCATAGAAACCTCAGGGCATTCTATCTTAATTCTGTCAAAAAAATCCTGGTGGAGAAGTGCTGGCAAAGGGACAACCATTTGAAATCCAGGTATAATTCTTGATCAAACTACGTCACTATCACAACATGTTAAGCCTTAGTACAGGGCAATTCCTAGAGATCATTTCACCCTCCAGCCAGCATTATTGACAGATATCCTACTTCTAGACTTACTATTATATAACATGTGCTCTTCCAGTGGCTATTAGAGAATGCAGTTCAACTACTGGGAAATGCTGCTAGGTTGATTTTCATTAACTAACCTTTATTGGTTAGTCTACCATCAAAAACCTTTGACTGGCTCTTTGTTTTTTCATATGACCAGATTATTTAGACATCTTTTAAAAAAATTATTTAATTATTTTTATTGCATTTATTGGGGTAGCATTGGTTAATAAAACCATATAGGTTGCAAATGTACGACTCAATAAAACATCATCTGCCTAAGGGGCTCAACACCCAAAATCAAGTGTCTTTCTGCCTCTACTTATCCCCCTTTGCCCACTTCCACCTCCCCCTACCTCCCTTCCCCTCTGGCCATCACCACAGTGTTGCATTAGCTTTAGCTCCACATTTCCCTCCGTACTCCTGCTTTTTCCCTTGATGTCTCCTGGATTATTTCCCTCCTGGATTCTCACACTGATGCTGCTCCTTCCTGTATGACATAGTCCTCCATGTCCCCTGAGATGATCTCCATCCTCCCAGAGCCTGAGGAGGCTTCTCTGTGCCACATCTGCTCTGAAAGCAGTGTGGAGATACAAAGGTCCCCTGTGAGAACGAACGCTCAGGTCGTGGCGCTGTTGTATTCTAATTGTCCCCCAAGTGTTCTGCTTCCTGAATTATTCATACATGTGTTTTTCTTTCTTACCAGGCTGAAAGTGGATAAAAGCAGTGTTCTGGCACATAAATTTGGCAAGAAAGATAGTGTGACTTGACTTCTGGAAACAAGGAACAATTTTAGGACACTATTCAAGGGAGTGATTTGGGTCTAAAACTGAAATTTTGTTATATTTTTCAGACTATTACTACCATCTAACTGTGAAAATCACACTTGGAAGCCATAACAAGCCAGAAGACTTGGACTTCAGTCCTTGTTTAGTTTCTCTATTAAGAATGTAACCAAGAGCAAGTCAGCACCGTGGCCTTTGTTCCCTTAGGGGTTAGCATTCTACCTCGCTCTTGCTCCCAGTATGCGCATTCCCAGCTTTCAATTTGTCAGTGCTGCTTATCTTCACCTGAAATCTTATATGTTTTAGCCCTATTTTTATTTAGTCTGTTACCTACTAGAACATAAATTCTATCTTACATTACAACCAGTTATAGGAGAGTAATAGGGGAAAATGGGGATAACTGTAATTGAGTAAGAATAAAAAATTAAAAAAAAATGAAAGCTCCAGGCAGGGGTAAAAATAGGATACAAACAATATGTGCATGGATATGAATATATGTATACACACATATGTATGAATGAATATATATTTACCTCCATACTGAATTCTCAATAGCTAGAATAGTACCTACCTCACATACAGCAGAAATCCAGTATAACTTGGGCGAATGACTAAATGGACAATGAACAAACCTTGGAACTCCAGGAACACAGTTTCAAAACCTCTTCTCTAAACTCTCTAATCATTTCCTCAGGATTGTTGGATCACCAGAGAGCAATATACCCTTTTATCTCAGCTCCCTGAAGAAATGGCTTTACTGAAATGTGATTAAATGTTATGCCCTCAGCTTTTAGAGAAATGCCTATTTGAACAGTGATTTTGTCTTTTGTTATTCTGTGACCTCCATTTGAGAAACTTGCCGATACATTTGTTTTTGAATTCAGTGGCAAAAAGTTTGTCTCTTCGATCTAAATTACGTTCTTTCTGGTCAGAGAATGAGAACTAAAGATGCCAAGCAGCCTCCTTTGTGTCTCCGTGTCCTTGACATGCAGTGCAGCTCAGTGCCTGGCAGCAGTAACTGCACGGGCTCAGGCATCTTGTTAAACACATTCGTTTGCTGGGTTTCACCAGAGCCTGTCCCTGAGTTGTGCTAGAGCATACTGCAATTAATTTTATAAGAATCTCAGAACCGCCGGGAAATGGGCAAGTTATAAATCTCAGATTAATAAAGTAAACTAGTTACTAACGTGTTGTGTGTACACCTTGCAATTAAAAGAGCAATCAGTTAAAAAAATGGTGAGGGCAATTTTAGACATTATGATACCTCCTGAGACAATGTAATAGATTTAGCACTATTTAAGGATAATGTGCATATAATTCTAAGAGTCCTGGTATTATGGAGATATATTTTAGCATATTCAGGCATTGTTCATAGGCATTATAAATTAACAAACAAGCATATTTTTCCAATTTCTATGAGATTTTACTTACAAATAAAGAGTTGAAGGAAATATGGGGGAGATATATTAATTTTAACTTAAAAATTTCCAGCAATGTGCCTGGCACATGGCCATTGATGAATGTTTATCTTACATTTTTAAAGGGGAAAAAAGAAAAACATAAGGGAAGGTAATCTTTGTTGAATATCCACTGCATGTGAAATTATTATAGCATCCCACTTATTCCTCATAATGATTCTACAAAGTAGTTGTTTAATTCCCAATTTGAAATGAAGAATTTGAGAAAGAAAAGAAAGATTCTGCAGTTTAATCTAAAGAGATCCCACTGAGATTCATACTTAAGGCCACTGGACTCTAACGTTTATATTCTTTTCTATTCAGCTGCTGTAAAAGGCCTTGTAGTTATATCTGCTGACTACTTACGTTACATAGTGAAGTAGGAAATGGTAACCCCCACCCCAAAAAAGATTAAGATAAAGTTTATGAGCTTAAAATGACTTTGTTGTCTTCCTGTACAGAACAGGTTTGAGAGGGACAGAGAGTGTTCTCTTTCTCGGGTAGGAGATATCTTTGAAACAGGAGAATGGAAGATAAAGGCAAGTAGAATACAGTTTGTTATTTGTACCAGGCAATCATAGGACTACTTGATTTTCTCTTTTGGTTTAATTGGGCTCTTCATTTCTTTTTTTTTAACTTAAAAACTGGTAAACTGACACAACTTGATAATACATGCTAGTTCTTTAAATCTAAATCTAATGACATACTTTACAGAACTCAATACAAAATTGAAGCCATCCCTATAGAGAGATATAGGTAGTGATTCTGAAAATATCCAAAATCTTTTAGACTATGGATTTCTTTAAGAATTAGATGAAAACTGTAGGCATTTGCTCATAGTATACATATATGCAGTTTAAAAAATCCACACAATTTTAGAGACTTTATGTGTCTCTGATCCATCCAAAGACTTAGGTTGGGGTCACCAAGCTAATGGCAGAGAGATAAGTGTCCAGGTTGTTTATAGACATTGTGGAATTTTTGATACTTTTGGCTTTGTGAACTAAATTCTTCCTTCCTTTTCTTTCTTTTTAGCATTCCTTTTTCTACTTCATAAAATCGTTCCCTTTTTTTTAAGCGGTATAATTTAACTTTATTTAAAAGACAGCATCCCCAGATGCCAACTAGTCCTTTTCACACAGGATTTTCCCTTGTCCCAGAAAAGCTGTAACTCAAAGCCCTTAGTTTTTAGAACCCTAATGTCTGCTGCAGGCCCACTTCATGGTTTTCTGCATAGCATTTGTGACAATTTGTATCCAAGTGCAATTCTTGTCAACCACATAATAAGCTGTTCCTAAACATTCTAACTCTCTTCCTCTACAATTATTTCTCTTTCTTAATATCTGGCATTCTTTTAATAACTGCAGTCAGGGGTAAAACAGTAGATTGCCTAGAAAGAACAGTACGTGTCTACATGTGTGTGTGTTGTGTCCCAGTATGGACAGCTAGGAATCACAAGTCCTTAAATTAAAATCCAAAAAGAAAAGGCATTACCTTGTCATTGTTCCAGCTTAGTACAGGACGGATGCTCTGCAGTGTTATTTGTAAGGAGCAGCATCTCAGGTAGTGTTTAAACACCCTATGCAACTCGCTGTCTTATTTCAAGCCCCAATGGCGATGCCTGGACATACCTTTTGTTCCGCTGTCATGGTTAGACTTTGCAGTCGGCCAGTCATATTCCCTAAGCTCTTTTCAAAAGCTGCTACAAGGTGAGCCTGTGAATAAAATGGAAGGAACCCATTTTCAATATTGGAAACTTATACAGATAGATGAAAATGCCTCACTTTTTCATATATACCTGCTTTATATCAGGCATTCCGTCTCTTTAAACACTACGGCCATCATAGTTAGCTTTCACTGGTGACTCTCCATTAACACAAACCTTTATTTATTTTTAAACTTCAGCTTAAAATCAGTATTTCAGTCTCTTGACATTTAAAGTGAGTTCACCTTCTGAAAGGGGACGGCATTTTGCAAATAATGACACCTTCTAACTTGCACATCCTGGAGGGTTTGACACATAAAACACTGAATAGAGCTCTGAGTTGCCAAGCTTTTAGACTTAAAGCCCACGCAGAGGTCAGTACAGTAGTCGATGGACAAATGTTCCTCATTTTTACACCTGCATGATGACCTTTGAAGATACTGTTAGCTCCCTGATTATAAGGATACTCTCCTTCAAGTGTCAGGCATCTGCGGACAGCTATAACATTATCTTTCCTTCTTCTATTGACAAAGAACTGAACTGAAAAGAGTGGTCTTCACTTTCCAAACTCTTCTCAATAAAAGGGTTTTTATTTCTACCTTATCTGCTTCAACTAACAATGTGTCAGCAGGCCAGCTAGAAAAAATAATTAGTCATATTTTATGTAACATTAAGTTTTTATGACTTTGTAGTTTTATTTTAAATCTCAGAGAATTATACCTGTTGAAGTCGATAACCATGAATCTTCTGATTAAATATTTGGCAATCCTATAACTCTAAAATAAGCCAGTTTTTATTAACATGCCATTTTGGAGCAGCTTGACCATCAAAGGTGAAGCATGAGGAGGTGCTGCAAGCTCACACGGTGGCTGAGGCGGAACTCCAGGCATGTCATGTCAAACTGATCAATTTTACTGGACTCTTAAAAGGATACAACCTACATCTATAATAAACTATGTGGGGTAAAGTTCGGCAATCTTTGGCCAAAGATTAATTTTTTGAGGGAAGGGAGTGGGAGGACTCAAAACACATCACATAGTAAGTAACTCTAGCAGAGCTAAAAGGCTGAGGTACCTATTATCAAATGGATCACTGGAGTGCTAAGAAGTGGGGCACTACAAGTTTGTTCCAGTATTAGTAACGGCTAGAAGTTTATTCCATTATTGGTAACAGTGAGAATGTACAAGTGCCTTCCATTAGCATCATGATACAAAGGCGTCTTTGTTCCAAGCTCTAAATTTATCCTGGGCTGCCTTTCTTTTCCTGTCACTGTAACATAGAGAAAGATAATTTGTAGAGAATAAGTCAATTAATCTTTAGTCTAGCAGTACAACTCTTTATTCTTTTTCCACTCCCTCCTCCCTCTTTCCCCCTGACCCTTCTCTCTCTTCTTCTTCCTCTTTCTCTCTCTCCCCCTCAACACACCTACATACACATATATCATGAAAATTATACTCGGAAGTTTGTTAGCAGATTTAATGGGACAAATAAGACTTTTAAAAAAGAAATATTATCTTATAGATTAAAATGTTTTCAATGACAAGAAACATCATTAATCAGACTTAGTACCCAGAAATTAATGTAAGGTAATGCCCCACTTTCTTCTATATATAACGTATGTTTAATTGTAAAAATACATGTAAAAGTGGACAAAATGAAAATGTATAGGTCACCAGTTTATCACATTGTGAATGTTGATGAACTACCAGCCCAGTCAAGAAATGGGACACGTGGACACCCTAGAAGTCCTCTCTTGCCCCTCTCCTAATACTGCCCCCTTTCCTCTCTCTGAAGATAGCCACTGTTGTAACATCTGTCATAATTATTTCTCGCTTCTCTTTACAGCTTTACCACATAATCTTATAATCCCTAAAGATTATGTTTTAGCTCTATTTTGAAACATTCAAGTGGAATCCAAAGGCAGGATTTTTGCATGACTGCTCTCTTTTCCTCAATGTTGTGCTTCTCAGACTCATCCGTGTGCTGCATGCAGGGGTGAGAGTGCTCTGTGGCATTCTATTTGCCCATGATAACAACTGGTACCGATTTCAGTTTAGACTATCAGAAATAATCACATTATGGTCCTACAATAGCTTACTACACTGTAAAACTAAAATTGCTTCCTTTATTTTAAAATACTGAAAATTTTGGCAGAATACCTTTGTTAACATTTACTAAAAGAAATGCAAGGTTCTACTTAATATTGAAAGTTTTAATTCTTCCAAAGAATTGTAAGTTTTAGTTGCTGGACTGTGAGCCCTTGTGTATATAAACACAGGGGAAATTCCTTCACCTTTGCACATATTTTACCAGTTCAACAGGGGTTAAAATATGACAGAAAGCTAAACTGTGAAGAATATGCTGTATAAATATATTGCTTATATTTTGTAGCTGTGAGTAAGTATAAAATATTCACCATTGGAATGTCAGTTTTCAGTTTGGGGAAAATTGCTCTTCATTAATTATTCATAAGAAAACTAGTTACAAAAGAACATTTTAATTTGAGTCACACTGTTCTCAATGAAATAATATGTGAAAAGTACATTAGTAGAATATTGCTTTAAATTTACATTGTTTTGGCTTAGTTTATCAGATCAACTTTGTTAGTATGAAGATAATGAAAGGTTAAATTTCCCACCAGTTGGATTAATGGACTGGGAGTACAAGAAGCAAATAAGGGAAACAATATCTACCAGGGATTTTTTTTCACTTTAATGGAGAGAAAATGGAAAATAAAACTGATTAAACTATAGGACAATACATCTTGTCTGAAAAAAACTTTGTAAAATGATGACTTTTAAAAAAGTTGTGGAATTTTAGGAGGGCTGTTAATACAGTTTACCTGGTTCGGGATTTTCTTTCAATATTTGCATAATTTTAAGCCAGAGCAAAATTTTATCAGTACAATGATGAACCGTCCCAACTTGTGTTTGGTGGAGTATGTCAAGGTAAATAAATTAGACAAGACTGAATAGTAGTTTAGGGAAGGTATTAACACATACTATCTTTAGTTTTGAAATCACACAACATAATCTGAGTAGACATGTAAAGAGAATCATCTGCTACTGAATAATGACATGAAATAGCATTATGGCAAACATCTACCTTGCATTTGTTCATTTAGAATTCAGTGACAGCATATCACCCAAATAAAAAAGGTACTTTACACATAGATTAATATAAGGATGAATGTATACATAGATATGACTTTACTTTTGAAAATCAATAGTTAGATGAATGAAAATGACTCTGAAATTATCACAAATAAGGCTTCACATTTTTTATTGCATACAATCGGCCATGCCGTGGTCAACATGTGCAGACTAGTTTTCTCTTAAAGGAGACATAGGAAAGCAGGTGTAAATAGAGTATCTAAAATATTAAACAGAGCAAATAAAACAGGACATAATCCGAAAAGGAAATAATACCTAAGAGATTTTTGTTTAAAAGATTTATATGCTGAAAGGCAAAAAATAAGTCCATTCAGTGATGTCTTTGAAAAATAGTAATAATAACCAGCCTTGGTGCTTATTTCCAAATTATCTGAGGGCTGAGGTGTACAAAGAGAACATGTTACAATACAAACAAATGCATCCCACCTGACTTGGCTGCATGAAGGGGTAGACGAGAGGCGAGAGGACACCTGGCTGACTGCGTGATGTGACCTCACATTCGCAGGTGCCTTTGCTTCTGGGGCTCCTGTTTTCTTTCTGTGCTTTGGTGGGGTACTGATTCAGGGAAGGCCAGGCAATAGCGCTTGCCAACATACCCGCTTTCCTTTCTAAAGACATCCTAGTAGAAACCGCTTTACAAAGAGCCTTCCCAGCGCTTTATGCAGCTCTGTTCAGAGAACTTCTCAAGTGGGCGGGAGGGCTGAGTGCTCATTCTACTGAATGCTAGGCTCTGCCAGTCAAAGGAGAAGTGAGCTCACTGGATACTTTTCTGCCTTACCACTGCCCCTTTTAACAAAGGGGTAAAAAAGCATTTTAGTAGAGAAGCATGTAAGTTTCAAGTTTAAATGTTAAAACACAGCTTATTATGTGTGGAGTCCATATAAATATAATCAAACCAGGTCCAAACACGTGATACAACACATCAATTAGAAAACATGTCCCAAATTAAGGAAAATCACTGAAATCATGATAGAATTATTCTCATATATTGAGTAAAATTGAATAGCTATATATTTCAAATGACTACTAAATAAATAATAACAGTTGAGATTTTCTATACAGCCAAAGGAGTAATTACTCATTGTATTGATCATATATAACCAAAAGGTAAAAAATTTACTTGTAGTCTGAATAAATTAATAAATAAAAGGCTTATTTCTACCTCCAAATAGGAATTACACAAGATTTAAAAAGCTTTTTTGACTTATGTTGAAGAAATTCAATACAGAAATAATTTTATTCTGTTTTGTGATTAATTTCTGTGCATGTATGTTAAAAATATATGTACATATTATTTACAACACCAGATATTAAGTGAGGGGAGATGAAGTAAAACACATTCTGAATGAAATTTAAATGTAGTAGTTTTTAGAATTCAGAACAAATCAAGTATTAACTAAGCCCTTTTGACTCATTATGGTCTATGGAATCTAAAGTGACATTATAAACCAAATGTTAAAGTTCAACATGATTTGTAGTTAATAGGTGACTTGTGACTGATTCAAACTTCTGAATGTGTAAAGGAGATTATAGCCTTAAAAATACAAATGAACATAACTATGCAAGACTCCATTCTTTGTCATTGTAATCATACTATTAAAGTGTTCAAAATAGAATTGACATAAAAATTATTTTATAAACATTTACCTATGCATCCATTCATACAAATTCTCAGCTACTGAAATACTAGTTTTATAGTGAATGTTAATAAACTTCTTTGTAGAAGAGTAGGGGATAATGCATATGTATATTCATTACATGAAGATTTCATTTTCATCTTTTGTCATTTTCAGCCTTTGCAAGTGTGTATTGTTTGTGTGTGTGTGTGTATACACATGGGTATATAAAATGAGAATGTGAAAAGAAAACACAAGAAACCAATAATCATGAACAGGAATGAAGTGTCAGAGGGAAAACAAATAATGCCTTTTTTATTAAACTCTTTTTAGTTTGTTTTTCTTTTTGATATAATAAGCATGTATTACTTTTTAAATGCAAATAGTTTAAAAATTACTGTGTAAAAGCCCAAACTCCATTATGTGTGGCAGCCACTTATTATTGCAGTATCTGAATATATAAGTCTATATAAGAGACATTTACAAAGCAAAGTGAGACCCTGAGTAATCATTCAAGACATCTGTAAGAATCTTGACTACCCAATGCATGGGGTCTCTCATGGAGCCTTCCTGGTTGCAGATAAACACGACCCAGAGTGTTTTGGCATTTGCGTTGCAGTATGTCCTCTGGATACAAATCCAGGAACCTTGATGGGAGTGTTTTGTACTACTATACAGCTAGCCTATCATATAAAATTTACAATTGCTTTTGAACTATTTAAGAATTAGACTTCAACAAAAAATATAGGTTATATAATACTGTTCTCTTCCAATATTGCCTAAACAATTCCCTAAGGCCTATTATTTTTAAGACTCCCCTAACATTATCTATAAAAACATAAATAAATATAGTCAATCCAAAATTAATTAGATTCTCTCAAAGTCAAAAAGATAAAATCAATTCAAATAAAATGCTAAAATGAATACATTGTGAATGAAATGACTTACTTATATACTGTGAAAGTTTTATTACACCACAATTTTCATCTTAAAATCTCACTTATTCATGTCATACCTAGGAGGCCTACACCTGCCCAGTCTTGCTATGTCAAGCTTTGTGTGGGAGATGGAAAAACTCAATGGCAGGCACAGACAGGTGAGGCAGGCAACAGGCCCAAAGCCGCACAGTGGAACCAAGCAGATTAACGCTGAGCAAAGGTGGCAGGACATACGGCAAAACAGCAGGGGCTTGCTTACCCCTCACTGCTGTTTCTAGCATCATTGTTCCTGAGGACTGGGCGCAGTGCCACGTGTTCTTTATTATGCTACACTGTGCACTCCCTGGCACATCGAAAGAATTCCAGTGAATGCTGATATAACTGATGGTCGTCACTGCCATCATTGTTGTTCTCAGCTGCTTAAACAATGAGAAGGCTGCCAAGGTGGCTGAGAGAAATAGATCTTATTTCAAGTATAGCTAAGATACCTAAATTTAGAGCTAAGTTAGTTTTTTAGAATTAATTGAATGCTTAATTAATTGTCTAATAAATTGCACTGAAGGAGGCAGGGCACTTGAATTTTTTTATTTTCCAAAGTTAATCACTATCAATCCCTAGTAGCATTGTGGCTTGAGAAAGTCTTACCTATGGGGTGTGATGAAAATCAGTAATAAAAGAAATAACCCCTGTAGCTGTTGTTAATATTTTCAATCTTTTCCAAGAAACAAAAAGCAATTTTAACCACATTATGATTCCTTATCAATTTGGTTTTACATTTTATTAGCCAGTGTACAGGAAAGTTTACTGTTATGTGAGTCCCACTATGTAGTGACTTAAGTCTGTATAATTTTTTGACATTTAAATTTTGTAAGCCTGTTACTGAAATTATCCCATTTACTATATAAAAATTTGTTTTAGTGTATCAAAACAAATCAGAAGTGACTTACATTTGCTGAAAGCTGAGATGTGAGGGTAGCCACTTTCTCCTGTGATGCGACCAGCTCTCTCCGCAGTTTATGAATTTGCTGAATGTAATTAAACAAATCAATTCAACATGCTAGTAGATTTTGACTTAAAACTAAAATTCAACCCAAGAACGCAAAGCAAATATTATAGTCAGCCCTTCCACCCACCCTGTATCAGCACCACTTTCTGAAAATTAAAGAAATGTGAATACGGGCTGCACGGTATAACAGTCAGATGCCCCGGTAAGAGAGGGGCGAAGCACCTGTGCCGGACACTGGGGGTCCGGTCTGCCAGCGAAGGCGTGCTTACTTGCTCATTTGCCATCCCTGCCCGTCTCAATAATCAGTGTACTTTTTATTCATTCTTTACAGAAATTTTCGGTAATGAAACTCAGGTAGTCAAATCTTTTTTTTTTAATTAAATATACATATACATATTTTCTCTGGGTCTTTGGAGTGAAAAGCACTCTGTGTTATTATTCTATCAGTGTTTTTGCTTGTTGATTTTAATTTTCTGTAAGCTGGCGACTTCTCGGAGCTGTGAAATACCCTGCAGGCGCTGAGAACTGGCACTGACTCAACACTGAATGAGTCCACATTTGCAAATAATGTTACTGGCTGGAGTTTTAATGACTAACACTCCGAGAAGCCTTCCCAAATATTGATTATAATGCCCTTTATTCCGTGAGTTACTATTAGCTCAGGGCAGAAAGACTTTATAGATTATCTGTAGTTTAAAAATAAGGGGGGGGAATCAGTAACACTGTGCAAATAACAAGATAAAACAACATAATAAATATGGTAAAATGTTTTCCTTTTCAGTTAAGTTCTAACTTGAATAAAACTGAATCAGAAAAATATGAGTATATGACCCTATACTTAAAATTTTAGTTTAAGCACTTTCACAGCTCAATCTGCATGTCTCATGTTGCCATGGAATATAAAGCAATTAGTCAAGGCAAAACATTTATAAGTTGACAAGTATACTTCTGGTCTCCAGGAATTTTAGTTACTGAGATGCCAAACATTCTACTTTGATGATTCTCATTTCTTTAAAAACAAGTTTTCTTTTGTTGTATTTGGACTTTTAGAATATTATCTCAGTTTGAAAGAGCATTCTTGCCCCAGTTCATTACTTGTCTTTTTCTTTTTTCTTTTTCCTTCACATTAGACTTTTCTGGAGAAGAAACAGTGGTCAATATGGAGAGACTAAGAGAGGAGTGAGCTGGAAGCTGAAAGCAAAGATATAGGGCATTTTTACAATGTCAGCAAAGGCAATTCCTTTTCACTCCTGTTTTTTTTAAAAAGAAATACATCCCAGCCCCAATTAGCTTCTGAGTTACAATCCTGTGATGAGGACCACAAATATTCTCAGAAACCAGAAAATCCATTTTATTTTTAAACCAAATTCAAAGAGGCTTTCTCAAATTAATAGTCTGTATTGCACATCCTACTTCCTTTAAATATAGTACAGGTAAACTTAAAGAACTGAAAACTATTTTTGAAAAACCATGACCCATCATGGGGCATGAATGAGGAGAGGGGAGCTCATAACTACCAGTGAGACAAGTAGATGTGGCATTTGTAGCCTTCAGAAGCTATATTATGATCAATGTTAGAAGCCTTGCTATGTCCATACAGTGAAAATAAAACAGGTTTTTAAAAAACCATAATCAGTCCTGGCTGGCGTAGCTCAGCGCGGGCTGCGAACCAAAGTGTCACAGGTTCGATTCCCAGTCAGGGCACATGCCTGGGTTGCAGGCCATGACCCCCAGCAACTGCACATTGATGTTTCTCTCTCTCTCCCTTTCTCCCTCCCTTCCCTCTCTAAAAATAAATAAATTAATTAAAAAAACATAATCACTTCTTGATCTAGCAATTACGAAGGTCATATTGGTATAATCAATACTTTTTCAATATTTTGAAGTACATCACAAATTTTACATTAAAAGCTAATAAAATATGACATCAAAGAAAAGAGTTCCTTTGTAGAGACTCTTGCCAGGACATTTTTCTCTGTGGTCTGATTGCCTCAGTGTAAACCAAATCAAATAATCATTACTGTACCTTGAATAAAGGCCTAATTAAAGCCCTTCTGCTCTCCTTGGATAGGACAACTCTTATACAAAAAGAAAGAGAAAGGATATTCTCTCCAGGTTGAATTCTGATTTATACGTTATTGCATGGAAGCATGTGTTTCTGAAGTGCATGTGTGATTAGAGCAATATACCACATGACATAAAGTGGTGATTAGAGGCAGGCAAGTCCTGGCACAAAAGAGATGGGCTGGGATGTTCAGTGGCTTGTGTTGTGGAGGTCTGGTGCCCAAGATTCAATAGTTTATTTAATTCTATGCAGGTAGTTTCAACAGGAAGTGGGGAAAGAGATTCTAGTAAAAAAGACCACACACTCATTCAACCGCCAAAGATTTTATGAGTGCTTGCTATTAGACAGTTCATCAGCTAAGACTGTAATTTACAATGTGAGAGGAGTTTGCTTCTATAAACTGCCTTTCATTTTCTTTCAAGAGGAAGTATTCAAGACCTGTTATCAACGATTTTGGATATTTGTATCCATGGTACTGGAGGATTATAGGCCTGTAACACAGAGCCCTCTAGTGGGAGAAAAACTTATTTCACCATAAATGTACACTACAATGGTCAAATATAAAAATGCTACAAGCTTTTTACCTCTGAATGAGCCTTTTCTTCGGCCTGTAAAAGAGAAAATACAAAATATATTATAAATAATGTCAACTCATTTGACAAGTATATATGCATGAAACAGTTATACTGTGTATTTAAAATGTTATGATCTAAAAAAATATAGTAAAATGCGTAATATTAAATTAACGGCATAAACAGGAGCCTGTAGAATTGCAAAGGAATATTTTTTATATATAAACCATGTAGTATTTTTAAATATAGGTTATTTGTATAGAATGCCTTAAAAGCAAATGGTAGAAGTAAGAGATAGTATTCACTGTAAGGTCCAGACCAAAACCAAATTAGTTTTAAAATTATACTCTTAAAAAGATAGGTACAGGAAAAGAATATTGGGTTTTTTAATTCCAATTGTAGGAAACACATTCTGTGAAAATATAGGGATTTTCACCCAAGATTTAGGAGTCAGAAGTTTGTTCTGTGATTTACAGATCACACAGAATGCCTGGGAAGGTTGGAGGGAAAATATTGACCTCTACTGATGACCACAGAAGTCAGGTTTTTAGTTTCTATTTTCTTTTAGTTTTCCTAGTGATTATTAATTAAGTGTGCATGGCTGCAAGTCAGAAACACATGAAAATGTCTAGGGTCACAGTGGGGATCAAAGTGGCTGAGAACACCTTCGGTTCACGGGGATTATACGAATGAGGGCTGCCGCAGAAAGCGCAGGGTGTTTTGACGTCAGGCACAGAAGATTCCTCGCTCTGTTTTCCTTCCGGGTGCTGGGCTGCAAAATGCCAGGGAATGAATTGTGTGCACCATGACATTTGGGAAGCTCTGCCATTCTGGAGAAAGCTGGAGAGTGTATAGTATTGGTGAACAATGTAAGTCTGCTCACTGCTTTGAGTAGATCCAAAGCTGAAAAACAATCTCTTCTCTTTTTTGGCATATGGTCTGTTTATTTGATGCAGATATACCTAAACCACCTTTTTATATATAGTCTTTTCCTCCAGAAGACATAAAATAAAGTATTTTTAAACACTGAAATATTTTTTTTGTGTATGCATCTCTTGAGTTTTGTCTTTCCTACATTGTCTTTACTCTTAAAAATAATGCACAGTTGGTAATATAGTGTTTAAGTAAAAGAGTTTAAGAAGTACAATCCTAATATCCTTTATAAGAAAATTCTTTTAAAAACAAATGTTAACATAAAGCTTGAATATTTTACATCTTGACTTTAGATTTATAAGTAAAAACATTTTAATTTTAATAATTTCAAGGTTTCATATAAAGTTTGGTTTTTGAATCATAAGTAGGGAAGAAATTTCAAAATGAAAATTTCATAAAATCAAGAGAAAGCTTCAGGTTGTTTGCCATAAGACATATGACAGAATTAACTACAACTATTTGGTTTCTCTAGTAATTTGCATCATTTTTGCCAGTTTATTCTGCCCAAATCCTGCTTCTAGGCTTGCTATGATTATAGAAAACTGATATTTAAAAATAATTTGTGTGTTTAAAACAGGCAATGTATTCTATCTTTAGTGAACTATTTCTTTTGGTCAAGAAATAATCACTTTTTTAAATTAAAAATGCCCTCGATAAGTTACTTATACTAGTTATAATTATAATTATCACATATTAATTCTCTACATACTGTATATAATGACTTTTCTTGTTGCTGATTTTTCAGAATTATCTTTTTCTTTAATATTTGCCTTCTTTCCTACACTTGGTTGTTAACAGAGGGTAGGTATTACTATCAAGTTGAAGAAATGAACCAGAATATTAATATTATATTTTTTTCAGTAGGTTAAGCATGATATGTGATTACTTGCCATATTAAATGAATTTTTGTTCATTTAAATTATATTTTATTATTTGTGCTATTAAGTTCTTTCAATTTTTCCCCTTTCATCCCCTCCACCCAGACTTCCCACTCCCTCAGGTAATCCCCACACCATTGTTCATGATCATGGATCATGCATATATATTTTTTGGCTACTATATCTCATATGCTGTACTTCATATCCCCATAACTATTCTGTAACCACCAATTTGTACTTCTTAATCCCTTCACCTCTTTTGCCCATCCCCCAACCCTTCTCCCAATTGGCAGCAATCAAAATGTTCTCTGTATCTGTGATTCTATTTCTGTTTTGCTTGTTCATTTATTTTGTTTTTTTTAATTCCATTATTGATAGATATGTATATATTGCCATTTTATTGTTCAGTTTTGATCTTCTTCTTAAAGAAGACCCTTTAACATTTCATATACTACTGGTTTGGTAGTGATGAACTCCTTTAGCTTCGTCTTGTCTGAGAAGCTCTTTATCTGCCCTTCAATTCTAAATGATTGCTTTGCTGGGTAGAGCAATCTTGGCTGTAGGTCCCTGCTTTTCATGACTTTGAATATTTCTTGCCATTCCCTTCTAGCCTGCAAAGTTTCTTTTGAGAAATCAGCTGACAGTTTTATGGGAGCTCCCCTGTAGGTAACCAGCTGCTTTTCTCTTGCTGCTTTTAAGATTCTCTCTGTCATTAACCTTCAGCATTTTAATTATCATGTGTCGGTGTGGGCTTCTTTGGGTTCATCTTGTGGACTCTGCACTTCCTAGGCTTGTATGGCTATTTCCTTCACCTAGTTAGGGAAGTTTTCTGTCATTATTTTTTCAAATAGTTTTTCAATTTCTTGTTCTCTCTCTTCTTCTGGCACTCCCATGATATAAATGTTGGTACACTTGAAGTTGTCCCAGAGGCTCCACACATTATCATTGTTTTTCTGAATTCTTTTTTCTTCTTGTTGTTCTGATTGGTTGTTTTTTGCTTCCTTATATTTCAAATTGCTAGTTTGATTTTCAGCTTTATCCACTCTATTGTTGATTTCTGGTAAATTGTCCTGATGTCAATTAGTGTATTTTTCATTTCTGAATGGTTCTCTTTTATGGTTTCCATGTCCATTTTTATGCTGTTGAAGTTCTCACTAAGTTCATTGTGCATCCTTATACCGGTGTTTTGAGCTATGCATCTAGTAGATTGTTTATCTTCATTTTGTTTAGTTCTTTTTTCTCGAGTTTTGTTATGTTATTCATTTGGGCCATGTTTCTTTGGCTCCTCATTTTGGCAGCCTCCCTGTGTTTATTTCTATGTATTAGGTAGAGCTCCCTTGGCTATCTTTATAGCATGGCCTGATGTGGTAGGTGTCCTGTTGGTTCCAGTGGCACAGCCTCCCCTATTACCCAAGCTGGGTACTTGAGGTACACCCACCGTGTGGACTATGTATACCCTCTTTTTGTAGTTGAGCTTTGATTGCTGTTGGCAGGTCAATGGTAGGGACTTACCCAGGCCAATCAGCTGCAAGGACTAGCTGTGACCACTGATCACCAACCTCTGCCCTCCGTGGAAGATCAGCTGTGCAGGATGCTGTAAATAGAACTGTACTTATTTCAGTAGGGCTCTGGTGCCTACTGAGTCTGCCCTTTGAAATTTTATCACTTGTGGGGGCGGTTTGTTGATGGTGCTCTGAAGTGATCTGAAGCTGTTCACTGAGTGTGCAGGCTGTGGAGCTTCCCAGGAGGTACAGGCCAAGGTCAGCCACTGCCTGTGTTCTGTTCAGGACCACCCAGCCTAAGCTATAAAGTGATCTGCAGATGGCTGCTACTTGTGCTGGGCTTGTTGGAGCTCAAGCATGGCCAATCTGTGAACCAAGGCCAGCTGCTGCTATTGCTGGGCCTGGGGACACTTAGTGAGAGGTATGGGGCTTAATGAGACCAGATGCTACTTGTATGAGAGAATTTAGGAAAGTCTGAAACTAGAGGTTCAACAAGCCATTCCTATAAAGAAGCCACTGGAAACAGCTTGGTGGGCCCAAAATAGGTTGGGGCAGAGTCTCAGGGAATCACTGGAGTGGGGCAAACAGTGTAGGCAGGTTGGTAGAGACTCAGATGGCTCCTGCCTGTTGGTTCTGCGTGGGGGAGGGCTTATCAAAGGAATAATGGCCTCTGCCAGCACTCTGTCCGGGAGAAAGCTATCCCCCATCTCATGTCCTGATCACGGACACTTCAGTTCTTCCTTGTATATCTCTGGTACCTTTCAATCCATTGCCCCTGTGCTGGAGCTCAGAGGGAGTGTGCCTGAGTAAGTCCATGTGCTGGCCCTTTAAGTGGAACTGCCTAAGACTCCAGCAGTTTCTGTCTTCCAATACCTCAACCTCCACTGGTTTTTATAGCCAGAAGTTATGGAGACTTATCTTCCTGGCACTGGAGCCCTGACTGGAGGGCCTGGTGTGGGGCTGGGACCCCTCGCTCCTGAGAAATCCCTCCTAATTTTTATCTATTACTTCTGGGTGTGGTTGCAACCTGCTCTGTGTCTCTGCCACTCCTACCAGTCCAGACGTGATTTCTTCTTTAATTCCATAGTTGTAGGACTTCCATTCAGCTCCACTTTTGGTGGTTCCAAATAATGGTTGTTCGGTAGTTCAGTTGTAATTTTGGTGTGGTTATGTGGAGGTGATTACAGCATTTACCTAGGCCACCATCCTCAGAACGCCCCTAAATGGTGGTTTTAAAGCAAGCCCAACATTCTGAAGGATGGGAAGCATTACCAAACGCCTTGTCCAGATAAAACTATATTCAATTTTGCTTTATTCTGAAGCTATTAATTGGCCATTTGTCCATTCAAACTTAAAAATTACCTTATATTAGCTGTGTTTAGGAAAAATGCTAGAAAAATCTAAAATAAACTAAACAGGACCCTTGCTTTTATCAAACCAACATAAATTGGATTCCAAGTACAAACCAGGTTACATAAAATTTTTAATACATATCCAATCAAAAACAACTATTGCAAGAATAAAATATGTAAATGCATTACAGATTTTGGCATATAAAGAGTAAAAAGAGTTCTGGGTCCTTAACAAAACATCGCATAGCTCCCTAGAGTATCTTGTATTTTCTCACTTTTCATGTGGATAATGGCAGTATTCTCCCCTGTGAGAAATCTCCAGCACAATAATAACCACCCAAACTCTGCTCCAGGAAGGAAAAAAGAGATGGTGGAGACTGGGACCTGCCTGAAAGCATGTTCTAATACCTCAAGGGGGCGATGCCAGGGGACTGTAAACTTGGAGGAATTTCATTTCAGTGTCTTTAGATATTCCGGTTATTTGAAAAGGAAATTTAAAACTTTTTATTTTCAGGTAAAAGCCCCAGATTTCACAGTGTTGGTTTATATTAAAAAACAAACATAGAAACTCTAAGTTTCCTGAAGGTAGAAACTTGGCAGATCAGACTGGGCCTGTAGTTTGTAACCAGTATGCCACCTCCTGACTCTTTCTGCTCAGGGTTTTAGAAGGTGATTCATACAACCTTATAACAAATGCATTGGAAAAATTTTACCAAATCATAATTGGTGGAGGTTCTAACAGAACTACATGTGGAGAAAGAATTCTTCCAATGGAGTCTGTTAGAGTGGTGATTTTACAGGTAAATATTCTTTCCAACAAACCATATTTGTTAGTTTGCTTTAATATTTTTAAGGAAAACATCTAATTCCACAATTTGCATTATAGAGTGAGTGTTAGAGTAAACATGGTTTATACCCATGGTTTTAATAAGAGCAGTATTTTACCTAATAAGAAGAGAGAGTACCTAACATTCTCCCCAAAAGGAAACACTTTCCCCCTAAACACGAATTATTTTAAGAAGGAACATCCCGCAGAGTTGTGTTAGTTGTGCACTGCATGCTTCAGAAAAAAGATGCTGTTACACAGACTAAGATGTGAATGGTGATTCCTAGAGCCATGCAACTAACATTTTTTTTTGTAATTTATGGTATGCAATATCCCTGATCTCTAGTTATTTCAGAAAAAACATGGATAAATCTGTTTTTTTTTCCAATTTTATTTTATAGGTATAATTCAAGGAAATGTAGCAACTTGACTGATGCCACACCGCAGTTACTGATATAGTCAAACAAGAATGGAAATCAATAGAATCTTTATCCAGAGTTCTTAAGAAGGCATAAAGAACAGCAATAAATTGCCTTTCACTTCATATTGGAAAGGACTTTCACAGATATTTTATCACTGCCAATTAAATCTCAGTGCATGGTAAGGGCAGTCAGAGACAGAAGACTTTATCATTTTTAATTCTTCTATTAGTCCTCCAAATATGCATTTTTGAATTGTTTTATTATAGGTTATTTGTTAATTCAACTATACAACTTATATCATTTCTAATACAACTATTTAAATTTATGAATTTACTAATAGTATCATCTTCTCATGTGTCTCTATCACCTAAGCCATCCTTTTCACACTTAATACCAGGGCCTAATTCATCTCTATATGTTGGTTTATAAATATGTATAGATAGTCTCTTTATTTTCATCTTTTTTTATATTGTACTCTTAAAACAATACTTCTCATTTATGTTTCCTAATTGTCCTTACTATTTTGACATATATACAGAGTAGGGCAAAAGTAGGTTTGCACTTGGAAGCACATGAAACATGGAGTTTACTCTTGTTATTCCGTATTAATTATTGTATTATTTTCCATACAAACAACTGTAAACCTCCCTTTGCCCCACCCTGTACTCACCATATCTATCTCTACCTCTATCTGTCATATAGCTAGCATTCTAAAATATACCTCCTGTTCTCAATAAACCTGCAATATCCAATATAGTAGCTACTTGGCACATGTGCTTATTTAATTTCAAATTAATTAAAACAAAAAATTCAGTTCCTCTGTCACACCAGACACTCTTCAAATACTTGATAACCATATGTGCTTATTATGGTATCAGACAGCAGTTACAGAGCAGTTTCATTACTGCAGAAAGGTCTATTGGACTCTAGTATATACTGATTAGCCATTTGTTTTTTTTCAACCTGTGCTCTTTTTATTCTTGAGTCTTTCTTAGGCTTCATAAAGGCTGTTTTATCCACATGTTGCTTTTGTACATATTTAAAATATGATTATAATGGTGTTGCATCTTTTCGCATTACACAGAGACTTCATTTGCAATGGTTTTGGCCAGAATACATCTTCCTGGTAGGCAGTAGCGCTGGCCTATTGGGAGGAACACTAACTCTTAACGTATTTCTCTTATGTATTTTTCTAGTATATTTTCACATCTCTTACTTCTTTATCCATTTGTTTAACACAGTAGATTTATCTAAACACTAATACTGATTTCTTCCATTATAGAACCTACTGGCAATTTTAATCATTAAAAGGAGAAATGATAAGAAAAATATTGTCTCTGCCAATGATAGCCTAATTTTGAGTAACTATGTAAAGCAATGAACACTAAGATGAACTTATAAAAAGAAGGACATAACATTTGAACCTGATTGCTCAGTTAACAGCCAAGGCTGTGAACTTTTTTTGAACCTTTCCATGAAAGACTAAGGATTATTCATAATATCCAAGTCTCAGTGAGATTCAATAAACCAAATACACCTTACTCTTATCTAAGCATGAAAGCTGCCTCTTGTAAGAAATAAATTCCTAAAGACTATTTCTTAAAAAGATGAAATTATATTAAATAGAACACTTGTTTTGGCAAAAATGAAATACAGTTTAACATATGGAAAAATAAGTTAGCACATTGGCATTTCTCTCTTAAGAAATAAGGTTTTAGAAATCATATTCTGTTTCAGATAATTAAAAAATCTCTAAGTTGCGGAGGTCTTTACATTTTGGCATAATCTTCTCAAAATAAACTTAAAAAATAAAATGAAAAAAGTACCATGAAACAATTATCAGTCAAGGTGCAAGGAACCAACAAGGAAAACTATTCAATATTATCAAATTATGATACAGCAGAGCGCACGCTTTCAGAGATTCCGAGTTCCACCCCAACAGGTTTTGTGAAGTTCAGTTTTTCTCCCATAAACTGATTACAATGAGTACATGAAAGTCAAGTGGAAGCGCACGGGAGTGGACAAGAGAAGAGCTACAGTAACACTCGCCGGCTCATTGGTTATGCAGTACCATAGAATTTTTCACTTAGAGTTCTCATTTCGCTATGCATCTTCTGTGTAAATGTAAGTCTACTAATTAATCGTGGGCTTGGCAAAGGCTTTTTCTTAACAGCCAATACTTACTGTCGAGTAAAGAGAAGAAGTGCTGGAGACCAGGGACAACGAAGAGCCATGAACTGGAGAAAGCAAAAAAGAAGAGGAGGTCAAACGAAGAAGTCTCTCAGGAACACTAAAGAGTGGTGAACAGGGAAATAAAATAGTAACTGCCTGACATACGAATCTGAGAAGAAGTCTGCTGTCACCTTTTTGGACATAAAGTCATTGAGACATGGAAAGACTGCATATCTACCCCCCTAATGTACCTCATTCATCATGTTACAGAGAGGATGCTTTGCACATACTGGAAGCTAGGGTAAAACTCCCACATAATTAATAATCAGAAAATCATGAAAACTTAACTATAGTTGCCAGAAACTTTTAAACTTTAAAGAGCTTTATGTATTTTATTCATTTGATTTTATTTTTATACAACTATTAATATTTTTCTCCAGGTACTTTAAGGGAAGAAAACATTTTATCCAACTTGCTAGTTCAACATTATCTGCAATGAGTTGATTATGTTTTTTAAATGAGAATTATTGTTTCTTTTGTAATTTTCATGATAGAAAAATACTCATTTCAAGGTGGTGTCTCACTGAAATTAAGAACGGAGATCATATCCTGTCTTTCATCTGGATATATCAAAACACAATCACAACCAATAAATAGACTGCTTTATATTTGTGCATGTCCAATTTATTAAGCCCAAAATGTGAATAAAATGTGCTTAATTATATTTGTAGAAAAATCCTTCATCTTTTCATTGTGGGATAATGTAAAGTTATTTCTGCTTATTTGTCCATTAAATAAACATCAGCTGAGTACACGAAATGCAATAGGCCCCTTCTTGATCCTGGGACAACAGAAATGAATGACATTATCCTGGGAGCTCAAAAAGAAGCAGACACACAACTAAAAGGATAACTACAATAGGGTAATAGAAGTACTATCAAAAGCGATGTCTTGGGTGCTACCAGAGCACATGGGAGGTGCTTACAGCCTGGTCTGGAGAGGATGGGAAAACCGCAAGCACTACCACTCTGTGGGATACGCAAAATTGTTGGTCATTTTTTCTTAAAAAAGCACATTCTTTTAACCGCTAATAACTAATATAACACTGGTATGAACTAGTGTGGTAGAAGGAAGATGGACAATGAACTGGGAGATCCCATCTTCAGCCTTACTTTTGCTGTTTATTACTTATGATCACTTAGTATTTATAGGTCTATGACCTTAAAGTTAAAGGCTTAGTTTCCTCATCTCTCACTTTGAGCACTGGGCAGTGTGCCATTAAACTCCCTTCCATCTCTCTAGTCCAATAATTTCTTGATTCTAGACTACAATTTAAGAATTATAACAGTTCAGTATTTGGTGAGTGGCCATCAAAAAGCCAACTTGCCCACTCAGGCTGGCATTCCAAAATTCAGATTATTTAATCCTCTTAAACGGAAGGTCCAAATTTCCCAGCACATGAACAACAGCATTCTATCTGTAAACAAGGCACTCTAGATATCCTTCAGTTTGCTTAGCGTATTATTTTTACAGTACTGTGAGAGGCCTGTCTATGAAGAGAGTGATAGAACCACTTTAGAAAAGCAATGACAACGTTTCAGATTAGTTACATTGTTTTCTACCTACACTGCAATAATCAGCAGATGCACAGGGTATAACTCACTCTTTGTCATGGTGAACTCAGTGGTTTGGTTAATATCCCAAAAAACAGTGGCAATTGTTAACTGATTCAGTGCCAGCATGTTAAATGTACAGTGGTAATCTGAAAATCATGAGCAAATTTTCTAAAATTGCCTAAGCTTTCCGTCAGAAGATACTTTATATAAGAAGGTAGGGAAGGGAAAGAGAAAAGAACAAAAGTTCTTTAATTTCATCTTCATGACAAACCTGTGAAATTACAGGTGCAGAAATTAGGAGTAATAAAGTTAGGAAATTTGTTCAAATTCATACCACAAAGAAAGGGATGGCCAGGGGCTTAAGCCCTAGTATGTTTCCAGGCCTGGAGTCCGTTCTTTTATATGTAATTATTAAGGACTAGGGTAGGATGGCTGATTTCATGTTCGATTTTATTCTAATCAATTTGAATTTTTACATTTACTTTCATCTCTGACTGATAAGCTTCATAATGTGAATGCCACAATTTTCCTTTATGGCTACTTAAAATCATTCACTAAAATCAAAGAGGAAAATCTCCCAAATGTTACTATCAAATTTGATGTTTGAGGTTATGTAGGTTAGAAAATTATACACATTTGAAAATCAATTAAGCTTCCTGAATTTTTCAAACAGATGTATTATAAAGTGTTCTGGTAGAACTTTACAACTACAAAGAAATACATGAGGACAGATGAGAATTCCATTGCATTAAATAAGGAAATGTAGCTAATAAAGCAAAAAGTAGACACAGTATGAATTCAAAATGACATAAAAACTAACACAAGAGGGAGTTTCTAAGAATGAAAGCCAGCAGCATGTGGTAGCTTCATAAGATAATTTTTTCTGACTCATATACCTTATGACCCTTTCATGAGATGTCAAATAAAAGATTCATTTTGACATTTGATACATTAGGGCAAATATTCTCTAAAATTATACAAATTTTTGTATTAGAATTTATTCTGAACTTTTCTATAACCTGGTATTAATCTGAACAATTTCTGGCATATTTCCAAATGCATAAAGAAAGAAAAACCAATGCTGACTAAAACTGCTTCAAGCTTCAAGGCTCTTTAAACAAAAGTTACACTTATTTATTTACTCTTCAGGACTTCTTATGATATAAGTGATGTGACAGTTTTCATCTCAGAGTTAAAGAATCTTCATCTTCTTTTCCCTGCACACATACCTTCTTCCATGCTATCTCGAAAGGAGCCTGAATGACTGATGGCACGTGGCCTCTCCTCCAAAGACGTGGCGCTCCCACAGAGCTGGGAGTCATCGTAGAGATCGAAGGAAGAGTCCTGGGCTGGGATGCTATTGGAGCGCATCATGCTGGGCCCAGGAAGGTTAAACTGAGACAGATTGGTTGGGCTTACTGAAAAACAGAGCACACACAGCACATGGTTCTGGGGCTTGGATGATGAAAATAGTGGGTGATTAGAATTGAAAACGAGTCCAATTCTTATGGAAACATGAGTTTACAGGGAGTTCCTATTTAAGGTAAGCCAAGAGTCTGCCTCGGAAATGTTCAATGACAGTTACAGTGGAACTCCTCTGGTCTTCTAGCACTTTCATGACCGCAGTATGTCAATTTCTAAAATTATTTCCAACAAAACCAGCAAGTTACCTCTACTGTTCATGCTAGAAATATAGTAACATGGTATTTTATGCTAACCACTGTGAAGAAAAGATTGTCTTCCTAGAGTCTGTAGGTTTCTCTTTAGAGAAGAATACGTCACTTTAATGGGAAAGCAAATTCAAAAAAAGGAAAAGAAAATACAAGAGATCTAAATTTCCCAAGAAAACACTTTATAAGCTTGCAGGCAAAGACTCTCAATCATTTTGTGTTTTGATGTAAGTCTCTTCCAACTCAGATTCTATCCTTCCATGAGTATAGAAGAAAGGTATTAATTCTGAAGAGTCTGAAGGGTGAATACAGAGACTGCGGTAGAAGGTCATTCAAGGTGGCAGGACCCTTGGAAGCATAAATACAGAAACTCCATGCATGGGAGTTTGTTTAAACATCACCCTGCATTTAGAAGGGTCTGTCAAACACATAGAACTTGGAAGTCATAGGTTGATAGTGATGTTTCCACATGGTAGCCCTTGCAGCAAGGTGAAGAATGAGTCTGAGCAATTGCTGTCATTCATGGGAAGGTGACAATGAGTCTCGCTTGGTTTCAGATGCCTCATCACACTGTTATAATCAGTAAATAAGGTTTTATCCAAACATTCATTTTGGGTGACAAACATTGGATCTATTAAATGATAACTGGCATGATTAGATGTCTTTCATTATTTGTCACTTTCCCCTGTGTTTTCTATATGACGTTTATACAAATGGTTTATATTTTATATAAATGATGCTAAGCACAAAGTACAATAACCCAATGACTAAGCTGGTTAGTCATTTATTTTTCATCATATTTATCCAAAAATGTTCACAGGGCATTACCTTAATAAAATTCTCATGTGCGTTTTAAGGAGACAGTTAACTTTAAAATATCAAAACAAATGATTTTGGAGTCATACAATCACATATTTTTTCTCCTTAATAATTATTTCTATTTTCTATTTTTCTGCAAATAGATGATTAATTTTGTTATAAGGATATAAAGATATATTTTAAAGAAAACACAAGGGGATATTTTACTTGTTTTTAAGAAGACTCTAAGAAAATCCCTAGATTTGAACAAGTCAGGTATTCTGGAATGAACTATTTGCCTCTGCTTCTTACCACTCATGGGATTTCTTTCAGGTCATTTGAACTCTGGGACCTCTGGATCCCAGACCATAAAATAACCACCTGTGTCAGGTTGTTGTCATGACCATTCACCAGCATAACATTTGGAAATTATTTCATGAAGAATAAGCAACCACACAAATAAAAGATCCTGTTAGGGTGCTTTTGTCTCCTCTTCAAATGAACAATTTCTATGGAGAGCTACCAGGGCTCCTGTAAGGGTGGTGGTGAAAGAAATGAGATGAAGCAGATGTTTCAGAATATGTTACCCAAGTTGGAGAAGTGGTATTTTCCGGTGGCAGAAGATGACATGGCGGAAGGCGAGAGCAGAGGCGACTGGCTGCCGGTGTCCTGCAGGCCTCCGGTCGAATGCGAGCGCAGCCACTCTTTGCCCTCCTCCTGGCTGGCCTGCCGAGATGACGGGGTGTATCTGCAAAACAGCACAGCTAAGACGCCTGAGCACCTCTCAGGGGGCAGAGCCCGGCCAGGACAAGAGAGCAGAGGAGAGGAGCTTACTCTTCAGACTAAACAATGTTCTCAATCAGATTAAATCTAATTATGATTGCTTAGTTCTTCCAGATGATTTGACACCATCTGTTTGAATCTCACAGGGAAAGAAAAGAGAATTTTGAACAGAAAATTATGCTTTTGTGAGATATGTAGTTGAAAATCATAAACAATGATCAGACAGCCAAGTTAATTGAGAAGGACTCGGAAGCTCAGTGCAGAGGGGGATGCAGAAAGGGTGAAAACAGGGACTCAGGTGGTGGACAATGATAGGCTGGAAGCCAGGGGAGCAGAGTGGTGGTCACAGAAAGGCAGAGGAAATGGAACATAAATTAACAACCCTCTTTTTTTAATAAAGGAAAATATTCATTTGGTTGAAATGCCACTTGACATCATATCTGGATTTTTTTTTTAAGTAGGGAAAATGTTCTACTTTATTAGAAAACACACTCCAGAACCAAATCTTGGAATGGAATAATTGCACACTGTTTGCTAAAGAGCTGGAGAGAAAAGGGGTGATGTGGAAAGACCTAGCTGGCCAGGACTCATTTTTGCCAGAGTAAGTAATTCTCAGCACCAAAGAGCAATCAACTTTGTATGTTCATGCAGGGTTACTGCCTCATTAATGGGTCATTCTGTATCTTCTCCTCAGATATAAGTGTGCAATTTTCACTTTATTTTTTATGACAACTGAAAAGTTATTTTGAGATTATGTAATACTAGACAGATTCGTATTAAATTGATCTGATAGATACAAACACTCTTAAAAAAACAGAAATTAAAACTCAAGTTTTTACTGAAAGGATTCATTAAAGGTTTATACCTAATTATAGTATGTGTCCCCTAAAGATGAAAAATATTTTCTTTGCTTCAAATTAAAGCATCCTTTCAATGGTAACTGGCTACATCTGTAGACTAGAAAGGTTTTGAGGATTTACAAGCATATGCCTCCAAGATGCAAAAATTAAGAATTTAGATAAATTAATTTTATCTAAATTTTCAGAAGTGAGTTCTGCATCCTACCAAAAATTGCTGCCTCCATAAATGATATTTACATTGAATTTAATTTGGGTCTTGTCCTCTATGAGCATCCCTACCTGAGGGCTACCTCACCTACTCCTCAGGCTGGAGAAAGGATTAAAAGTGATTTCATCCTCAATATCAGGTGCTTCATTGCAAACAAAGGGGAAGAAAGACAGCACACAAAGTTTAAGTAACAACAGAGAAAGAAAGGCAGCAAATGTGCTGAGAAGAATATATACCTTAGTCCCTTTCTGGGTAGTGTATTTCTGTCAAGCTGTATGCTGTTAAAACAAAAGAAAATCCCTAAGGACATAATTTAAACAAAACTTCCAAATTACACACCCAACAAAAATGGCTCTCTGTTTGAACTACAAAAAATAAACTTTTGTAACACATATTTGACACTTCACTCTTGGGGAAAGAACAACCAGGTGTCTGTTGTTGCAACACATGTGAGCTCCTTTCTAACCCAGTTTGAATTCATTATAATTTAGTGACAGGATTATTAGAAGATAGCTTTAATCAGGTTAGAATAATTCCTCTCTCTATTCTATTTATCTAATGGCTTGCAGTTTTTTCCTCCACATGCAACTCACTTGATTTCTGCTATGCAAGAGAATCCAAAGGTAGAAATGAGATAGATATACTCAACCTATGTGAAATCGACAAGTTCCAATAGGCAGAGAAGATATAAATACCATTTAGTATTTATTTTTGTCTTCAAATTATTTTTTATAAAAATGAAGGCAGATTTATTCCCACTTACATATAAGAGAAAAAATAATACATAATAAATATCTGCCTGAAACACAATGGGTCTGCCATCATTCATTTACAGATTTTAATGAAATTAAACTATGCCAGTTTTTGGAAGCTATAAATTAGGTATTTAAAAAGGTATATGTTTTATCACTCTCTATTTTAAAGAATTCTCAATAAGACCCTCACTGGGATATAGAAAGGGATGAAAGAATGTGTCTGGAGAAAATGAGAAATGGCCTCTCTAAAATTCGCAGAGGAAGGTTTCAACAAGTAAGTGGGACAGGTCTTGAGTTTTCTGTTACAACTTCTAGCATGTGGAAAAACAAGTAATAAAATTAATTTAAATTTTTAGAATTATGGCTCTCTTCCATCAGATGACCAAAATTAAATGCACAGGATATACGCTTAATGGGGATGATACAACATGAATGGAATTTAATTCACATTGACTTGAAATTTAATCACTCAAAATCAAAGCTAAAATGTTTTCTTCTGTGTGTACTCCATTATTTAGCACTGCAATAGAAAGCATCCTGAGGTATTACAGAACTTTAGTAATTTTATCTTACGGGAAGGTTCACATAAGGTAATTATTGTGTCATATAGAGGCCACTTCTAATATATATCTTGACTACAGAAGTTTTGTTTAGTAATGAGGATAAACAAACAACCAAAAAGGAATCACACTGAACAAATATGACAAACCTCTAAATGTGCACTACAGCGTGGTAAAGCATTAACATGGTCACAGGCCATTGTAAAGTTCTTCACATGTGCAGCATTGCTAAAGTTTAACATTGTAGAAGAAATTGAATACAGGCATTGTTTTGTCAATGTTATTACTTATATAAAAATTATATATTTTATGATATAGGTGACTTAGTAAAATAAAAATCAGAAAAAATATATTTACATTTACCAATGTAAGTTAAAACTTTAAGTAGAAGTATCTGTTTGAATCAAAATATTAATGATTTCATAACATAGATACTTTCTACAGGCCCTGCAATGTCACAAATCCATGCTCTGCAATGCCAGGCAGTGGAAGTGAGTGAGGCGGAGATGTTAGTCCACAGAATATATATTCAATATAACTTATTAAAAGTTTTGAAAATGACATATGAGGATACCCACTTACCTATAAAGTGCCTCAACTCATATCTAAGATGCTGCAGGAAGCCTAACTTTTTAGATCAAAATTAAATGCAACAGTACTTATACCAGTGTTTTTGTGTATGCTCTTGGAGTTTCTATATGTTGTTCATAATACCAAAACAGAGGGAAAATGTTACTCAGCTGTTTACCTTGTTTCTCCTGGCAAGTTTTTTTTTAATGAGGAAAAATCTATTTTGTAACTAGCAGCCCACCATAAACAGTATCAAGCATCAATGTTACAACTAGGTTCCAAATTCTTACATTAAGGAGCAGTCTGGTTTGCATGGCTGCCCATGTACCATTGTTAAGGGAGTGGGAAGTAACTGGGATGGAAGCAATGTTTTGCTCTGGGTTTTGCATTTCACAAAGGCAAGAGAAACAGAAAACAGCATTTGGAAATCTCACATTAAGGGACAACTGGTACACGGTAGCGAGCATTTAGTTTAGTTGATGTTTAAAAAAATTTTTCTAGGAGTACAGCTGGAAGTCTGGAAAAGAGGTGATATGTCAGCATCAATAGTAGACTGAATATGTGGGGAAAGGAATCAGGCATTTTCAGACACTAGTAGTGCATTTACAAATAGCACAATTAGGGTATGTGCCCAAGGCCTTTTCTTTGAAGATCTTAGGTGTGCCAAGAAACAAATAAAATTAAATTCATTAGGGAAAAGGGAGCAGTTTTAAGATATTTTCCTGGGGGCAAGAGTCAGTACCAAAATATCAGAGAAAGGAATTTTGTGGGAACAGAATCTAGAGCCATTTTAGTCAACAGTGATGTTTTCTGGTACATAACTTAGGTAAGGAAAGCCTCATTATGTTTTTCATTTAAATTTAAAAAATCTATAGCTCATTAAACCAATGGGAAACAGCTTGTAATGTGATATATTTTGAAAGGGCCTATTAAAAATAGGCACTGATGTTATAATTTTCTTTAAGAATTCATACCTGACAAGTGATTTTTTCCAATTTAACTAGGATTCCCCAATGGTCCATTTGCTATTTTTCCATAGAAGTGCTAATAAAGCAAATTTAACATATTGCTCAGAGCATAATTGTAGAATTGATTTAAATTTGTTCTTTAAAAATGCTTAAATTATCATAAAGAGCTGTGTTGTCCTGCAGCTCAAGCCAAACCATTAAAATGGCTTGAGAAGATGTCATTTAATACATAAATGCCTGCTTTGAATTTTAACCACATTGCCTATTGGGAATAGATGTGTATGCATTCAAATTGAGAAACTTAATTATCCAATTATCCTATCCTTAAAGATTTTTTTCATGTGCAAACTTGGTAACAAGAGCAAATGACAGGCCCATTGGCATCAATTTTACGCCCCTTTGCAATGTGGCACTCCCACTGGAATTGGAATCAGGGGGTTAATGGGGCAGGGGGTAGGCACCATGAGGGGAAGAGGGGTGAGGGCTTCATCAATGCCTCCAGGAAAGCTCACCTTTCTGAGAGAGTAGATCTCACACTACCCGTTCTCATGAGCAGGCTCTGCACCTCGTGAGTGCCTGTGGTCAGTCCAGACAGGGAGCCATGGTGGCTGAGGGGGAGGTCAATGGACTCAGAACTTGTGTGGAGGCTAGTCATAGACTGGTAACTCGGAGTGTCCTTGCTGCCGGCAGAGGAACTGCTCAGATTGGCAGCCCACACGAGACCACCTGACGTGAAAGAGTGAACCGATGCTGGGCTGGATGCCAATGAGTGACTTAAGCTTATGACATCTGCAGTTAGGTCTGAGGGTTTATTGAAGAGAGGGCTGCTGCCGCCACTCAGCCCGCCAGCACTGCCCATGCTGCCCGTGCCAGACGACGGCGACTCCAGACTGCCTTGGCGCGCTAATGTGGTGCTAGGGCTGGGCATGGCTGAGGAGCATTTCGCACCCTCAGTATTAGGTGCGGAGGCAGATTTGCCACCTGCCTTGGCACCAAACAACCTAAAAGAAAAACAAATAACAACTTCAGTTGTTCCAAGAAACTGACATCCACATTAAATATTGAGGGTTCAGTACACAGAGCCAAGCGTGCTTCGATGTTCCCAGCTACCGAGCGCTTCCTGTCTCTGTGTTAATGAACATGATAAGCTTGAGCTTTTTGATCTACTGCTAAAGATCTCTCATATCGCCATTAGGGTAAGTCGATGCTGGGCTGCCACCCAGGGGGTTGGGGGGACTGGGCAAAACAAATCAAACATGAAAATCCCTGCCTTTCACAATTTAAGTGACTGTAAAAATCTTTCACAAAAATTAAGTTTTGTTAGTTTGATGGTATTTGCTGTTACTTATTTATAGAACCATTATAATGAAACAACTTCTACGCATTCGGTATATAAGAAACATTTTTTCCCTCATTTTTAATGTTTTATTCAAGATCTAAAAGGAATGCTTAAGGCACGGTTTGGGAGGTTATGTTGCACATCTGGTGGCCTGAGGGACTGTCAGAAGGTAGTTGGTTCGAAACAACATCAGACACTGCTGGCAACACATCAGTTTGTCTTTATTTTCCCCAAAAGAGGCCGAAGGGTCATACATCAGTTGCCAGAGCTGTTTAAATGTGTATCTTTGTTAGTGATTTGAAATAGAGTTGGTGCTGAGTTAGATGCTGGAGCTTAGATCAGAAAACATTTTAGTTTTGTAAATGAAGATGGTATTGTCAAATTTATGTAAATATGGAAATAAAGTGATATGAAGTAATGGCGTAATGATTACTAATTAAGTTGCAATGAAATCCGTATTTCCTGTAGTGAAATATTTTATGACGAATATGAGAAATTGTTTCATAGGTAATGGGCCACTGGAGGGCACTATTAGCTTTCACTTAAGCGACAGAAGCATTTACTCTCTCTACAAGCCATAGCGAGAGTCAATTTACTCTTTCCAATGACAACACTTCAAAAAGCCAGTTTTCAGGATTAACATTTCTGCTGAGGAATATACCCTCTAGGTTTCATAAACAATCATGCATCCGAGATTGCTTGGAATGTAAATGTTTTAAGACCTCCTTTCCCACCTCCCCGCAAATATCAAGGTTCTTGGTTTAGTCAGTATCATAAAAATAAACATTAAAAATACTTAACCGGTAACAGACTATAAATCACACTCTTATCACTTCACAGACAAAGAGACAGATCCACACAGGTTTACCTCTTTGTCCTGAATCTTTACCTGTATGTATTTTCCCCTCACTTAGAACATACTGGCATTTAAAAACTATGATATTGTGGAGCAGAACTCCACATGTTCAGCAACAAAGACAGCCTTAGGGCAGAAAGCCACTGTGCTCACTGGGCTCATTGGAGAGAGCTGATGAAGAGCTGGAAAACCTAGCCCATTCCTCAGTTGTTGTCCTACACCCAACATCCAAATGTTTCCAAGTTTTGTCAGTCGTACCATACCCTGATTTTCATCAATAGGTCAAGATACAGTAGTATATAAATGTGTCCGACATAACCTGTTACAAGGAACACAGCTTCATCTACCTTCATGATCAGCGACTCATTAAGAGCCACCAAGATAACAAACACTGGAAATGAATAACCATAGTCATAAAGACCTATTTTGTTTTGCTTTAATTGTGGAAAAAGAGATGAAAATCTATGGAAATTTACAAGGTGTTACTTTATTTTTTCACTACCCCTAGTGCATTTCAGTATCTTATAAATGCTGTTTGTGTTGCTAATATTACAATAATAGTAAAATTGGAAAGTTGAGCATTTCTCAAAATGAGTACATTTTTTGTCTAGCTGTTTTATATGATCAGCTTCTTAAAACTCACTGTACTCAAAAACTGAATAAAAGAATCTAAGATATATGTTTCTTAGAATATACATGTGTGTGTGTATCTTAAAATACAGCATTTTGTGTTTTCCCAGCATCCTTCCACGCATTCTTACCTTCGAAATGTAGGCGAGGCAATGTCAGGGTACTTGGACCCTGGCTGCCTGAGCCCTTGTGTTCCGCAGGCACTGGCAGAGGTGGGGCTGGATTTGGGGGAACCTGACAAAGAAACACTCTCTGAATCTGAGACTGCTACTTTTTCCTTTTCCTTGTCTGTTTGGTTGACAGTGACAGGACTGGAGCGCCCTGACCCAATTTTCGTGGGTTCTCTCAGTTTCGAGGTGGTGGCGCCGGCTGACTTGCTGCTGACGTTGGAATCAATGCTGCTGGTGCTGGACCTGTGGCCGCCTCGGCCAGGAATGCCACTGGTGCTGGACTTGGAGGGGCGGGGCAAGCTGCGGTACTGCAGGGAGGTCTTCGAACTAACATGCAGTCCCACGTCGTCCTGATTCTGTGAACCATCCAAACTGGTTTTTCTCCCGGTGTTTGACTTCCCACCAATGGCAGCAGATTTGGGGATTTTACCCAGCGTGGCCGATCCACTGGTGATGGTCGCCCCACTGCTCGTGATCATGGCAGACGACCCGACTCCGCTTGGTTTCTTAAACCCAAAAGACCCGGTGGCGGTCGATCTCCCAATGCCCGAGGGAGGCTTTTTCCCCTCGTCTCCGCTGCTTTTTCCTGCATCTGAAGGAGACCTCTGCAGAGAAGATCCTTTCAGGGGAGTTTTCCCTTTCTCAGAAGCTTTGGTATCATCAGTTTTCCCTAATTAATGAGAAATTCACACATTTATTTATCTGCACATTTTGATTTCGTAATAATGTTTATTTAAAGAGTGTGTCAAAGGTGAATACCTCTTTATATTACTTCAGTTCCTAAATATTTACCTTTTTAGATATAAACAGGCATGCACTCTAATATACTGGGTAAAAAGGTGCAAAAATATGGCTAGTAGAGGGATGTGGTGAGAGATCAAAGAAATAACACATAATTTGCTATTTATTATTGCTTTATATCTTGCAACTCTTCCTTTATAAGGATAACACTTACTCTTATCAAGCTAAGTACCACAAAAAATAATTCATTTGAGATGAATATCTGTGAGATGATTACATTTCAAGTACCCTGTTACATCAGTACTTTGTGTGACACTATTTAAAATTAAGCACCATTTTAGAAGCAGGGAGAGTCTTAAGGATAAAAAAAGGATGGTGCAATTTGGAAGAATTCTTTCACAAAGTCTCATTCACAAATGATGTTTCAAATCTCCACCATTCTAAGCCATTAGACTAATGGGATTGATCTTGTCTCTCAGAGTTGGTATTGAAACTTTGTGGTATACTTAACATAAATATTCCAAACTTTCATAAGGCAGTCAGAAAGAAACAAATTTTTTTTATTAAACAGCCTCATCTTATTTCCATATGATAAGGCACAGCTGTAGCAAAATAAAGACACTCAATAGCCCCAAATTATGGCAGTGCGTTCTAGAGAAGGCCTAGACTGTTATAGACATGTGGGTTTATATGTTTAAGCATGTAAATTTACCCTAAAATAATTTAACTATATGAAGAATAATATGATTTAATAAAAAAGCTATCATTAAAGAGAGCAAAGAGGAAATGGAAACAATAAATTAAAACACATTTGCATAACAGTTGCCAACTGACAAGCCTACCAGGGGTCTTGAGGGCACTGGTCCCAGCTTTCTGCCTAGATGGGGCCCCTCCCTGGGCAGACACGCCTCTCCTCCAGGAACCAGTCTGAGAGACACACAAGGGGGCCTTCTGCCCCGCCTTCTCGGGGTCTTCAGGAAGTCCCTGGGAAACTCCCTTCCACTTGCCACTGACATCCCCGTGGCTGTCAAAGTCCTCCTCCGTCTTTTTCAGCTCCTCAGTACTGTCCCACGTCTCATCAGTGGCGCAACGTTTCTCTGAATCTGTCTTCAGCTAAGGAGGAAATATTACAGAAAAGTGTTGTGCAGAAAATCTGTTAAGTGTGAACAAGGCACTGGAATTTATTTTCAGTTAACTGGTTAAAAAAAAAGGCACTGACTTCGATTTCAAAAGAATTCCAAAAAGTTCTCTGTTTTTTCTATGTCTTCATGTAAATTTCATTAGTTTTAGCCACATAATTCTCACTTGTACATATTAGAGAATGTCAGATAAAATATATGAGCAGAAAACCCCAATTAAGCACTCTAGAGAGGAAGCAGTTTTTTCTATGTCAAATCTAACTAGGAAAAGAAGATATAAAAATTTAATTATCCAATATCTATTCTTGATTTACCATCCTCAAGAGATCCAGTAATTTATTTCAGAGATAAATGTAAAGTTAATCAATAATTATTCAAATTAAACTATTAAAATATATTTTAGATTTTAAACAAATATATCCATATTACATAGAGATGGCAACATAAGTCTTTCTTGGTTAGATTTTAATCAGTAGGAAAAATATATATATATATGTACACAGGCTATTTTAGTTTATACAATCATTTCAAATTAAGAGATTAAGGCTACATTTAACTGTAATATAAACTACTTTGGGGTAACTGGCAGAAGCACTGGAAAAGGGAAGCCAGTGATTCTCACCTGAGTGTTCTTCCTGGAAGGGAGAGTGATGTTGGAGTAAGAGCTGACTGAGGACGTGGTGTTCAGGTCGTCGGTGCTGATGTTATCCAGGGTGTCACTGAGACCACTGCTCACGGAGCTGCTGTCGTCCCAGCTATAGGCAAGGCAGGTGGCAGCAGTGAACGCCATGACACAAGTCATCTCATTTCCATGTAACCATTACCATGTTTTGAAAAGACAATCCTCCCTCTCTCCCTCCCTCCCTACCCTCCTTCCCTCCTTCCCTCCTTCCTTCCTTCCTTCCTTCTTTCCTATTATTATTCTATTACAGTTGTCCCAATTTTTCCCTCTTTCCCTCCTCTGCCCATCCCATTCCCCACCTTTCTTTTAATCTTATGATGAAAAATTATTCACTTTCCATTTTTGGAAAATAATATTAATAGGAATTGAATGCAGACCTGAGAATAACCTTATCTGATATTTACAAAGAACCAGAGTCTAAAGCAGATCCAGATTCCAGGGGAATATTTATAGACTGAATAGAAACCCTGACCCAAATATTATCAGTATCAGGAAATAATAACATTACTGATGACTTTTTTCACCTGCAAACAGTAACCAGGATCTAAGAACTCACGCTTTGTTCTAAATATAAAGAATACAAAACTATGCTTTAGTTGGAAACCATAAAGTTGTCCTTCATTCTTTGTCCTACCTTAGTACTACTTCTAATCATTCACTAACTCATGAACATTGAGCTTCAGTTTACCATAGCATCCCTCCTGCCACACCTCAATTTCTGGCCTGTACATCTGGCCTTCTTGCCTTTGGCCTTTCTTATTACAACTTCGCTGGCTAACGTTAGGTCAATGATCAGTCCTGGCCAGTGTGGCTCCCTCCGTTGGTTGGATGTCATTCTGCAAAGTGAAGGGTTGCTGGTTCGATTCCCTGTCAGGGCCTGGGCTGTGGGCTAGGTCCCTGGTTGGTGGTATGCAAGAGGTAACTGATTGATGTTTCTCTCACACATCAATGTTTCTCTCCCTCTCTTTCTCCCTCCCCTGCCCTTTCTCTAAAAATAAATAAAATCTTAAGACAAAATAAAGTTGGGTCAATGATCACAAATCCACATTCGGCCATGTCATTTCCCTCCTTAACACACTTCAAAGAGTTCTTTTTACCAAAGCAGGAAATTCTTGAAGGGAATGTGCTGACCCTGCGGGACACATGGGAAATCCATTGCATTATAAAAAATATTCTGAAATTCTGAGCATATTTGGTTTTAATCCACAGAAGAGTAAACAACATAGGCTACATGGATACTAACACATAAGCCAGCATGGGCACTCTCCAGCAGTGAGGCAGGACTGAGCAGGGTCCCCTGCAGGAGAACGGGGCTCTGGAGTATAAACGGGGAGACCACAGTTCTCAGTCTGCTGTGATGCAGTGCTGTTTACCTGTGCTCTATGAAACAGATGAATGCACACTGGATACAAATATTAGATAGAGACAGAAGCTAGTCTCACAAAATGGGAAAGTGGCTTAAAAGATCTGCAAATAATCTACACGTTGAAGAGAATGTCCATAATGAAAGAACAAGCAAACCACAAAGAATGGTGAACTGATACTTTTCTTACTCTGGTATGTGCCCTTTAGGAGTCATACAAATTCAAAATAACAGTGATGCACCGAGATCACATGGAAAACCAACTAGAAAAGTCATTGTCAAGAAGAAAATTTGAAATTTGAATTTAGACCAAATCTTGTTAATGTGACCTTTCCCTGCGTGTAATATTAAGTACTGATAGCATAAAGTATCATGATTACCAAAGGCATTTATAAATCAGATTATTGTCAATAATAATTGTATTTTTCATGAGAGCAAAGGGGAATTTTGTATTGCTGTTGCAAATATCTGTTATTTGTGGCTGCTCAAATCTTTAGAATACTCTCCTTACATGTAGTTTCAATAATTCCCACTATCTTACCCACGAGTCTTACTTTCAAGGCAGACTATTAAAAAACCCCACATTTCCACTTTGCCTGATATGTGGGTATGGCATGTATCACAGGGCTTGTCTAGCACATGTACCACAGAGTCACAAACGAGAAAAACAGTCTTCTGGAAAACAGTAGCAGAGTGACTCAATTCTTCTCTATCAGCAGTGGCAGCTATCTGGCCGGGAGTCAGAGGTGCCCAGTGGAGGAAGGGGTGATGCCCCGTGGCTGTGTTGTTAAGAGCCTGCAAAGACCTCGGTTTCCCAATCACAGAAAAGATGCAGAGAGCCTTCTCATCTCCTATCATTCCTTAAAGTAGCCAAAGTACAATAGGTTCTGTAGTTTGCAAATAAGATCCTCAATTAACACATTAGTAATTCAAAACTATTATTCCTTCTTTACTACATCTTTTAGTTTTTTTCATGTTTGTGTATGTTGTATGATACATATACTACCTTCTCACAGTAATACATACATATAAATTATATAAATACAAATATATGCCTTTTAATGACCACTAGTTTAAAGCACAGTTCAGGCTCCTTGAAGACATCAGGGCTTTCTATTACGCGGTTCTGGCCCACCTCTTCAGCACCAGCATTTTACACGCCCTGCATCACTTTCTGAACTTTGACTCAGAGCTGCATTGAGTTTCCATCAGCAAGACCTTATTTCCAACCTCTGCTTCTGCTCTAGCTTCCCCTCTGCCTGCCGGACTAACCAATAGTTACATTGTAACACATCGTCTAGGAAGCTGCTTTTACTCTCTGCTGTCAGGGTGGATGAGTTACCTCTCCTCTGTGCTGCCATAATACTAAGTGCAGTCTTACAGGGCTGGATTTAGTCCATTGTTTAATACATCGATAAAAACAGGTAGATGGACCACTGGCCTGTGAGTTTTCTAAGCACAGAGCATGTGTAATTTTTCTTTGAATTTCTACTGTCTAGGGGAATGATTAACACCCATGTGTTGAATGAAAGTCTTGTGTTTTACTCAGATTAAGAGAAAAGCAATTATGGAGGTAGTATCTCTCACTTTTACTAAGTGAGTTTTTAAAAAGTACCTAGCACACTATATGTTCTTCATTCAAATAATCAATTGAACTCAAAGATAAAATTTATAGTGAGCATTTTTTTTTAATCTGTTCGATTTGTCATACTACAATGGGCCTTCCTTGACCTTTATCTTTTTTTTTAAAGATCTTATTTATTTATTTTTAGAGAGGGAAAGGAGGGAAATAGAGAGAGAGAGAGAAACATCAATGTGCTGTTGCTGGGGGCCGTGGCCTGCAACCCAGGCATGTACCCTGACTGGGAATCAAACCTGCGACACTTTGGTTCGCAGCCCACGCTCAATCCACTGAGCTACACCAGCCAGGGCTGTTTTTAAGTCTTCTTGTGCACTTTATTCCACTAAATTTTTTACCAATGATCCGGGATCCAAAGACACTGAGGAAAAGGATTGTTACAATAACAGTCTAACCAGTACTATATTCCAGTTCTTGCACCCTAATAGTCCCCTATATCTGTCCTGACTTTATATTAATTAAATATATGCTTTCTCCATTCTCATTTTGGAATGACAAGAAAGTTAACTAATCATAATGACTAATGTAATAATATTATATAGTTTATTATATCTAAAAACTATAATGACTGAATGCATATAGAGTCAAGTTATCCGACCTCAGGTGATCTCAGGGCTACTTAGAAATTTTGTTCTCTCCAAAAGCAATTTTCTTCAAATTGCAAAGGCATAGTGTTGTTTCTCTCTTTTTCCTCTGGATTTAAGATCTTCCTCCTAATACTTCACTGACATTGCTTTCACAAAGGGCAGTGACATCCATGAACTATGTGTCCTGCTCCCCTAATATCCTCCAATCCTCAGACAAGTCCATGAGTCCGGAATTGCAGGGAAACACAGGTGCAGGTAAGTCAAATGGCATGCCCAGGATCCCATGGTGGAGATGAAATTTGAACCCAGGAATTATGCCTCAAAGCTTGGTTAGCACTATGCTCCCTTGCCTCCCATCTTCTTGACCTTTTTCTGTTGAAATTCATCAGTAAAGATCTGATAGAAGCTCTCTGCAAACTTCACTGGAGTTCCCTCAGAATCCTTTACTTTACCTCTTCTTTGGGATTCCTCTGAATCCCTCAATATTCAGAACTTAATCTTAATTCACCTTAGACATTCTTCCTTGGAAATTCCCTGGTCTTCCACTACTTCAGTATCACTTCCACGACCACGCCACTCAAACTCCCGTCACCGAGCCAGCCTTCTTTCCTGACCATGTGACTGGCATCACCACCCTCCAACTGAACGGTTCCTCAAGGATGTCTTGTCTGCATCTCAAATTCATGCTGCCTAGAATACACAACTTCTCTTTAAAAGTTCTTTTCCCTCTCTGTTATTTACATTCCTTGTCAATTCTTCTGCCATAGAATATTGGTGTTATTACCTTTCTTCTCTTGCTTAGCTCCGTTCTTAGTCAAGTTGTCTCTAATCCGTGGAAGTCCATCTCGGCTATAGGTAACATACCGAACCCTGTGTTTCTGCATTTGGCTGCCCTTGCTTGTCCCTCTTTCCATAACAGCTATTAGTAAGTGTATGCTCTTATTCATTAAGTGATGAATAAATCATAACTCTTCTTGAAGAGCTCGGTGTTTACTGTAGAGGACAAAAAATTAAACCAACGGTTCTAATAGAAAATGGCAAGTGTTGTAATAGAGGTGAATGTTCAATGCATGGTAGGACAGAGCTACTGGAACTTTTTTGAGAGTTAAAGAGTTTCTCATGATAGGGACATTATGGAGTGACCAGGTAAAGTTTGTGTTAATCTCAGCATTACAGCATGTATCACTTGTCAGAACCACTTTTGTGTGCGGTTTCAATCTTATCGGTCCTAATCTAAATTACCTAAAGTCAGGAACTGAGTTTTACTAATTATTATAATCTTACAATAGAACATGCTATCTCCTACAGAATAGGTGACTAGTGGATGCTTGTTAAATGAATGGAAGTTTTATTTTTGAAAATGCTGCTTCTATCCAGTAATGTTAAATTGGATTATGTCCAATAAGTGCAGGTTTTAGGAAAAATTTGTTTCACATATTTCTTTGGTAAGTAATAAAGGAACAATTTTGGTTGATGGCACCATT